GGTCAAGAAGTATAAGAAAATGTCCCGACGTTCTTTCGTTACATCGTTACATCCAGACATTTCTATCCTTCATGAATCAATAAAGTTATGTGAAGAAGAATGACGTTTTTCTAGCGCGTGCTCCATTTATAGTATACGTATTCTATGAATATTCCGTGTTTGTGTAAAGTTTGTTGTCATTCAATAAAATTATGTAATAATAGATTTATTTGTAACTAGGGACTCACTTTTGCTTCGCTCGGGTTCGTTTCTAGGTACGTTTTAACGGTTAGTATAACAGACTATATACACGTACAATGTACATACATATATACATAGGTTTTTTTTATTAGAAATGGGCTTACTCTTCACCTTCATCTTAGCTCGAAAGCATAGATAAGGTCTACGATCTAGCGAGCTTGCCCAGGAAAACAAAAACAGGTATAGAAAAGTAGGTAGTAAAGTATATATATATATATATATATATATATATATATCCCTTCAGAAATGATTGATTCCTCATCCAATCTCCCATCAGCCTTTTCACCCCCTTATATATGAAATGTTTTCCGGGATGAAAACTATCTTATGTCATTCCCAGGGTCTCATACTATTTCCACACCGAATTTGATCTAAATCGGTTTAGCGTTTAACCGTAAAAAGATGACGGACAGACAGACAGATATACAGAGTTACTTTCGCATTTAATATTAGTATGGATATATAAAGCTGGCTTTTTTGTGGTGCTGATCTATCATCATGGGCTTGGGCTGAACGTTGAAAGTCAGTCAGTGATTAAGTTAGTTTTATTATAGAATAGATATTGCGAGTGTACCTTAGGAGATAAACATATACCTACTGTTGCAGATCTTTCTGTTGGCCTTTTCAAGACATACAATTTTTTTGTACATTATTTTGTTGTATGTCTTAAGGTTTAGCCAGCGGAAGGTTTCTAAGGAGGACTCGATAAAACCAGTTACTACGATTTCCCGTGGAATAAAAAGATTTTCCTGAAGTAAAAGGTATCCTAAATGTTGAGCCGAGTAATAAGTTATCACTTCACCAAATTTCGTTGAAATCGGTTCATTACTTTTTGCACTTTTACTTTTTCACACTCAAACAGACATACAGAGAAGCAGACAAAATTTAATAACTATTATTTTGGGGTCTATATTGTGTACAAACGTTACAGTTATCTCTTAAAAAACATGTACAGATTTCTCTAAGTTACTGCTTTATTATAGTATAGATAATAATTAGCAATTATGAAATTTATAGCATTCTAATTGGGTAGTTGCTATTTGACTTCCGTTTATTTAATGAATCCAAAAAGTGTATTATTGCGAAAATATGAGGAACTATTTGGAATAAACTGCCCACGCCGGAGGCCGTCATCTCAATTCCTGCATGACGAATATGACTTTGTTGATATTTGTCCCTGTTTTTATAACTCTTTTGTTAGCTTCTTTTATAGCTATGTAATTTAATCTACTAAGTGGTTTTTAATTTTGTATGTGAAATTCAGACAATGGAACAGTCAGTACAATACCGAATTTGAGCCTGGAGGTAATAGATGATAGGTACTCTTAATAGTTACTATATCTTCGGATTGCAGCCCGAATTAATTTTGTTTATTTTAACGACTCTCATAATATATAGTTGATCAAAAATAGCGTTGACAACGTCTTTAGGTTAACAGCTTGAATATCAGAAAATAAGATGTCTTAATGCTTAGCATTATCAAAATAATGATATTATGTTCATATTAAAATAACATACACATGTATTGGATGTATTAAAAATTGACTATTTAAAAATTATCATGTTCTAATTTTAATAATATATATAATATAATAATGATAAAAGTAGTGTAGTGCCGTATAATCATAAATCACGAAAATAAAATACAAATTACTTGAACTATAACTTTTCGAGGTTAACTTCAATTATAAAATATTCTGTTTTATTTGCCGTTCCGCTCATTACCGGTATTTCTTAACGTAAGAATTTCACGAAATAGTTCGGTACGTCAATATTAACGTCATACAAAATTAATTTAACTATTTGCATATTCTTGCATTAATACAATTATAACTTAGGCAATAGCAGTTTTAATAATTAATGACCATTTATAATTAAGTAATTGAAATAGATTTAAAAATGCATTTTATAATAAATAAAATCACTGTTTCTTTTAAATTGTATTCTGAAGCTTTGATATGAAAGTAAAACTTTTGCTAATTCGAGGACAAACAAAATTAAAATATCTCTTTTAGTCATTAATTTCTAGATTGGTTATAGAGTATTCTGTTTTATTTGCCGAAAGTAAGAGAAATGAAAATGTAAGGCGTAAAATTTCATTTAAAAAGGTCCAGTGACTTTTTTGCTACTCTTAAAATTTACGTAGTAGCAAAAACGTTTAAGTTTTGCGCTAGAAAGTATAATTTTTTATTTTATTTTAGTTAAAAAAGCTATTCTGAAATAAAATCTTAGTCTTACAATATTACTGTAAGACATAGTCTGCAAAGAATTAAATATAACACTTTTTTTTTTCGGAAACTGTTTTAAGGTTATGTACCCAAAATAGCAAAAACGAAACTTATATGTTCGTCAGGTTCATCCATCTCATGAACGAATTAGCCACAATTCTTTCATGGTCCATCTGATAGATAGGAATCTGTAAAGGGCTGTATTTTGTTAACTGAAATAGGTACCTAATAGGTAAAAAATATATAATCTAAAATATTCCAGATCTCAAAAATTAGCCGCAATGAGAAAAGCTTTGATATAATATGACAACATTTTTTGAGGTAGGTACAGTTTAACATAAAGTTAAACTTTTTAGTTGGTGCGCAATATGGCGTTTTGCTTTATTTGTTAAATAGAATATATTTATATAAATATATATATATATATATATATATATATATATATATATATATATATATATAAATATATTTTAAGTTGCGATTTGAATTATATCCAATCTGAATTTAAATTTCGAAAAAGAATTGAAATTAGTTCAGCCCTAATGGGCTTAACTAAAACCATGTTTAAGGTAGATCAGAATTCGGAAACTTTATTCACGCTTATAAATTAGCAGGAAAATGAAACAATTTTTTTTTAACCTTAGGTAAATCAATGTAAAATTTGTTAGCGTGTAGCTCACTCAGAGGAGGAGAGTGCTACATACCGGAAATATAATTTGTTTTAAAATGTCAAATATTCGCGAAAATTTAAGAAAGTATACGCTACACCCTCATCGAAGCTAATTGTATGACCCCTACACAGGCACCTGTTTTATGTGGTCAGGAAGTCGGATCTGACTGCTTGCTTTGACTTGCTTGGAGTCAAGATTGCCTCATGATTGCAATGTACCTAATTTAAATCAATTAAAAAGGCAAAAGAAAATTACATTTTTACTTTACACCTTCACCGAAAAGGCTACACTAATCAGTTTCGGATGAGTCATGAAGGATAAATAAATAAATAAATATGTTGGCACCATCTAGTTCCATGGTAAGCTACGAGGCTTGTGTTATGGATACCAGATATTTGATATTTTACATATATATATAATTTTAAATACATACATATTATAAATATAAACACCCATAACTGGATTATAAACATTCGTGCTCATGACAAATGAATGCCCCCAGCGGGCCTCGAACCCGCGACCGCTGGCACAACAAGTACACTACAAACTGAGCCAAACGTCGTCTATAGCTTGAACCTAGTTAAACTAGCTTTTTATTAAAAGTACCGCGTTCGAATAGTCTTACGATGTTGGGAACTAAAGTGCTATAGGCACAAAGACAGGAAGAGGCGCTAAACGTATTATAACTCTTTTTGCGATGAGAGTTAGGCAAATTAATCTTTTATAAATAAAATGTGTTTTTTTTATTATAGATTTTTAGTTTTTATCAGTTTTCAGAAATCCAACATTTGGAGTTTTATCTATAATTTTTTTCCGAATTACTTATAAACATAATATAAGTTCTATATTTTTTTGTGATCGCCTCTTATAAACTTTCAATTTGATGCCCCACACGAAAGATTTGGAAGATTTAAAAAAAAACATGTAAATAGGCTACTGAAATCAGTCATTTTCATTTTTAATAATATCCATAAAACACTTGCGTTACCTAGACGAATCTCACGATGACTCATCGAAATAGATTTAGCAGTTTAGTAATTACGAGGAAGCATAGGATCAGACATACATACAGGTCAAACACATAACTCTATTTTGGGCTTCACCGCAGTCAGGAAGATCTTTGTGCAAAGTTATACAATGAAATCTCAGATTAGCGACGAGATGCACGTTGAAATGTCTGTCATTCATTTGGTTACCGAGTGTTAAGGAAAAGGGTTTGAACTACGAATCAACAACGAAGGTTTTAGTACTTTAAAATGATATATTATTTATTACACACAAGGTCATAGGAAGTAAAGGAATTTTCGTTACGTAAGTGAGCTGTGAGCCATGCGAAAGTCAGCTAGAACGTAAATGAAACAAAACGTGATTGTGCGAGTATTTTATTTGTATTTTATTACATATTTACAACAGGTCGTTACATGGCAAGATTTAAAATACTTTCTGTTAAATATAAGGTACAAGAAAAGATTTTGTTACAGTAAATAATAAAATAAATTACCTATAAAGTATTATTGTAAAAATAAATGTTTATGCTACAAGTAACATTTTGCTATACTATATACTGAAATACGTAATAGCACTAATTTTTACATGAATATACACAATTGTCATAGCCCGCTAATTTTACTATAAAAGTAAATAAATCTTTTCATTTATTTATGCACTTTAACTTTACATGAAGGCAAAGTTTTGTTTACATTTAAATATCTTATACCTGTACATTAAAAGATACACGAATTAAGTAAAGTCGAAATCAGTCGTTTTACATTTATGTCAAATTAAGAGTATAATATGTACAGATTCCAATCGAATAATTACCTATATACTTATTATATTTTCTATATTTGCCATCTTATTATAATTTATTCGGTGGAAAGTCAAGTGTCGTATACGTTGGCCTGGTCCTTGGCACGGGGGGTCTCCTTGCTCTGGGGTGTGTCTTCCCTCCCTCTGCATTCACCCCCTCTCCTTCTTCAGATAAAAATGGCGTGCGAGGGTTCAAAACTAGTGCTTTATACGATGAATGAGAATCCGCTATGCTTCTTCCATCACCTTCGTCCCTTCTAGAGAGTTCTGAGAACGGTGAGACCGACCGTTTCTCAATACCGCTCGGTCCGGGCGTCTCTTCTTTGGGCTTCAAATCGTACACATTTTCCTCTTTTCTTTTAGTTTCCTCCTTTTTGAATTTGCTCTTTCGTTCGATAATTTCAACGGTAGTCAAATCTGAGTTTTGTATTTCAGTATCTAATGGCGCAGTTGTTAGCCACGGTCTGTTTTTATTGCACCAACGTTCATCGCTTTCACTAGTATCGCCAAGCAGCCCCAGTTTTTCTAAGTTTTGTAAAAGTAAGTTTTCGCTTGAGCTCGCCGCTCGCATCTCGGTTTTGGAGTCTTCGGCCAGCAATAGTTCTGCTAAAGGTGGAGCGAGGCCGAGCCCAATGTTTCTTTCATGATATACTTCAGATATCGTAGGGGTCAGTTCTCCACTCATATGCCTCACTTGAGCCATGGAATCTCGGCTGTTTGTGCCCATTTTGGGTCGTGGAGCTCTCTTAGATGTCGAGGGCTGGTTCGTTGGATCAGTTTTGTCTTCTTCTCGTCGCGAACTGGACGAGGCTAAATCGTAAAACGCGTCGAGATATCTTTGGTGCGGATGCTCTGGACGTCTTCGTAATACTGTGTCGTGGCCTGAGCTCTCCCAGTCGGAGTCGTCTGTGGAGGGCGGTCTTCGGGTGTAGAGTGTTCTAATCTTGGTTTGATGTGCTAAGGCCAGTGAGACGTCTCGTGGGGGTGTGCTGGTTTGTGGGGCAGCCGGGGGTGAAGGGGTGAAGGCCGCGTCACTCTCCCCACGGTAACGGGGCGGGGGCGGCACGGGAGCGGTGCGACCGTCCGGCTCCCCGCGCCCGACCTCGCCCGCACCGCGCACGTACATTGTAAAGGCGCCCCCGCATGAGCCTAGTGGTAGAGGCGGGACTGATGATACGTTTTCTTCTGCAAATTAATTGTTTGTATTAGTGTGGGTAATTTAATGTAATTAATTAGACAAAGGGTTATTTATTATAATGTATGCGTGCAAATAGAGTGTAATGAAATGTAACAAAGTGGTTTAACGCTATATAAACATGACGTGATTCATGGATTTTATTTTAATGTTGTTTCTTATTAATTTAATTGATAGCTACAAAATCGGATTACTACCAGTACAAGCGAAGCGAGGGTAAAGATTTGAATGGTATGATGCATGGTATTATTTGTATGTATGTACGTATCTATACTAATAATATTATAAAGAGGTAAAGTTTGTGAGTTTGTGTGATTGGGAGTTTCTCACGTTGTAGGGGGTAATCTCTGGATCTACTAAACCGATTAAAAAAAATTTAGTAAGAAGATAGTTTGAGACTCTGGGAAGGACATAAGATACTTTTTATTCCGGAAATCATCCCTTAAGGGGTTGAAAATGGGGATGAAAGTTTGTATTGGGAAGCAAGCTAAGGACGAACCTGAGCGAAGCGACGGTGAGTCGCTAGTATGTTTATAATTGTGGATGTGGTAATATATGGCATTTATTTTTGTTAAATAAATAGAGGATATTATATTATAATGTTGGTAAGAATGAATATTTAAAGCACTCACGTCGATGTTGCCTGGGCGGCGGCTCGCCGTCCGAGTGCGGCTCGAGGTCGCCGTCGTCGATCGACGCGAGCGACTCTACGCTCGAGCTCGACTCCAGGCTCAGGCTCCGCGGCGCTTCTTGGGTGTCTGTTGTATGAAGAGTGGTTTATTTGTGTTAAAATGTTTCCATTATATTTTATTGTAACCTAATTCTAAATACCGTATGGGTTTGTTTATATGCATGTGAATTTCGGATGAAAATACAATGATTTGTTACCATCGAGCTGGTCTGATTATGAAGTACTAACTCCTAGTTAAAATTTTAAGTTTGGTCTTTTCTTAAACAGGTAAAAGAGTGGTAGTACTTTATATAAAACAGTCGAGAGACTATCCCCAGTTTTAAAAAAGACCTCAAATCTGAGAACAACTGGCGCAAGAAACTCAGCGAGACTAAAATATATACTTGTTTTATAAAGCAAATAAAAAATATAAGTACAATATGCATAGTTACCAAACAAAGCAAGCAGAGCCTGCAGCACGAACTGTATGTGCCTGCGGTTGGCGGCCTTGCCGGTGCGCAGCGTCACCTCGTCCTGCCCCACCTCCGCCAGGTCGAAGCCCAGCGACGCGAGCAGCTCGTGGCATCCGTTCACTCGCCATAGTCTGTGTTATGTTGATAATTTATTATTATATTAGAATAAATTATTAGCTTTTAAGGTTTTAGATGTGATTTTGTCTTATAATATCATATCCTATTATTAATTTTTAGGATAAAAGCATTTCGTCAGAAATATCAACTTCACGACAGTGGTCATGAAGGGATTGCAAATTATCAGGCCTTAATTTAATATTGATGTGCCTCCGGAAAACATACAGCATTGTATATGAAGAAGCAGTGTATACTTTGCCATTTATTTACGGTCTGTGGAATATGTCATCTACTTTTCAACTACCCTATACTAAATTTTAAATTGACGGTAGTAGAAAATCCAGCTAGGACACGGCAAAACGTTGTCACTTTGAATATCATAGCGTTGTGTACTTTCACCGCGTGCGGTCGAAATCCAAAAATATTAGAATAATCCGTTAAATATTTTGAGAAATAATTTTACAAAGTGTTAGCATAACTAATATTACATCAATATCTATCTGTATTTTTGTGTTTGTGCGGGTTCTTATACCGGAAGTGTATCGTAATGAATCGCGCGCCTAGCGAGGACGATGAAGCCATCGAGGCAAACCGACCTATCGTTTCTAATTCACTCAATTTCTTTTTTTTCGGGTAGGTGTGCAAAAAGTAGTAACACATATTTTTGTTAGCTCCTTTTTACTTATTTAATTAAAATCATAATAACTCTTATCTAATTACAAGTTATGTGCTAAAAGTTAGAAACCTACCAGCCACAATTCCTTAAGTAATTTCCATAAGAGTACTTTGCCTCTACACCAAATAAATCCAGTATTTGTTGCACTACTACTTGGTTGTGACACTTTCATACAATGGATTCAATCAAGCAATCCCTTAATGACCTGGCACATCACTTTAACACCACAATGGCTGAGTTCCAGCAGAACTTGAATACTTCAATTCCAGCAACAAGTCCAACCTCAAACATAGCGGCGCAATTTAGTACATTTCGAACCTTTGTGCTCTCGGCGCTTGAAAATCTTCAGCAGCAAGTAAATCACCTCTCTAAACAACAAGATCATCTTGATATGAATACTAGAAAGAAAATCCTTTTAGTACATGGTGTTCCGGAAGCTAAAAATGAAGATGTGACTGCAGTAATGGTCAAACTTCTATCTGACCGCCTTGACTTGCCAGACCTTTCAATAGAGGATATCAGCCGTTGTCATCGCATAGGAAGCTCCAAAGTAGACAAACATCGCGTAGTCCTTATCAAATTTAAGCGGTTGTTGATCAGGAATCAGGTTTGGTATGCTAAGACCAAACTTAAAAATACAGGTACAACCATATCCGAATTTCTCACTAAAACCAGACATGACGCCTTCATGGCTGCTAGGCAGCGCTTTGGTGTCTCCAAATGCTGGACAAGGGAAGGAGTCGTATTTGTTATTACGCCCAGTGGAACTCGACATCGCATTAGTTCGCGTTCGGAGCTCGACAATATTCCCGGACCAACTGACGTCCATGTGCCAGCTGCTAATACTGGTGCCGCGTCTACTCTCACATCTTCAAAAGCAAGAGCAGCTGCACCAACGCAAGTGAACCGGGCCAGGCGCAACATCAAGAAGTGATAATGATGTTTTGTTGTATGTTACGGGTAAATCACATTTATACTAGTTGTTTCTATATAATCCCTGTTTCGCATTCTAACTTTACTATTTGTACGAATAATCTTGTTTCAATATGGAATACCCGCAATTATTTACTCGGTTTGTTGTGTATACCGTAAATTTTTAGTTCTTACAATTTTGAAATAACTTAATAACACTGTCACAGACCACAGCCTAACTGACAGCTGTCATAATACGTTCCGTTCTAAAATCTAAATTTAGCATATCAAATGCCCTTTACAAAGATTAAAAATGTTAGCCTAAATATTAAATCTTTTTTATAATTTACTAATGTATGATATACAGATATCTTTCTTCTTTTTTTTTTTGTTAAGTTAATTCGAGACCAAACTCTTGCATTTTTTATATTTGTTAATTACTTTCCCGTTAATCCACACAAAATGTTGCTTAGCTTTCGCTACGACACTGTTTACATTTTGTTGCGTTCAGGTTTTTTTTTTTGTACTATTTTTTTTCTATGTTAGTTTTATTAAAATACCTTACTTGTAATTAAGGTATTTCTCACTATTATTGTGTATAGGCAATTTGTATAAGGGTATGGCTGGTGGGTTAGCAAATGACACAGTTTTATTTTACTATCTTATTTTATTTATTATTATTATTATTAATATTCTATATTTTTTATATTTTATTTAGTATATATTTTATTATTATTTTATAGCATTATATCAGTATGACGAATAGTGAAAATGATAGCACTACAGACGACGACATTTATCTTCCTTGTCATTCCTCATCATCCGACGACGCCAGTTTCCTCAGTTCTTCCATTCCTCTCAATGAAACCTTACACTCCACTTTTTCTCATTATTCAAAGAGCTTCAATGTTGCTCATATTAATGCGCAGAGTATCCCCGCACACTACCCGGACCTATTAAGTACGTTTGACGTTAAAGACTTACATGCGATCTTAGTCTCGGAAAGTTTCCTTAAACCTTGTCTTCCTTCTACTTCGTACGCCTTGCCGGGTTTTCATCTGATTAGAAACGATAGAACTGACAAAGGTGGTGGAGGGGTAGCTATTTACTTACGTTCACACATTCCTTTTAATATTTTAAGTAAATCTCCCTCTCAATACACTGAGTCAGCTGAATATATTATAATTGAGGTCCTTTTCGGTTGCCTGAAACTTCTGTTGGGAGTCTTCTATAGTCCATCAATGCGCGTTGACTACTTTGATGAATTTGAGGTCTTAATGGAGAGACTTATCCCAGACGCTGATCACTCTATAATCATGGGGGATTTTAATACCTGTTTGATTAAAGATGACTTACGAGCAAAGCGGTTGAACAGCATCATCAATGGCGCTAATCTTAATATTGTCAACTCTAATAGTGCGACTCATTTTTTTCCTGATTGCACTCCTTCGTTGCTGGATCTGATGATTGTCTCTTCACTTGATCTCGTCAATGTGCATGGACAGCTCTCAGCTGATGCGTTCTCATACCACGACCTAATTTATCTGTCCTATAAAATACGTCCACCCAAAGCCAAACCTACGGTGGTTATGCGACGCAGCTTTAAGCACTTTAATAACGACAGCTTTATGAATGATCTCAGTTTGATTGACTGGAATTCTGTTTTAAACGCCTCGTCCACAGATGATAAGCTGAATATTTTTAATTCCATACTGACGGAGTTGTTTGATATTCATGCTCCACTTAGACCAATTAAAATCAAACATCTTCCGGCACCTTGGTTGACACAGGAAATTAGAGTGCTAATGGTCAAACGTAATAGGGCTAAGTCCAAATATAAAATTAACCCCACAGCCGATAATCTGCTTAAATTTAAGCATTTGCGTAACAAATGCAATAGATTCTGCCGAGATGCTCAACGCGAATATGTTCATGCTTCAGTGGAAAATAAAGACTCTGCCAGAGTATGGAAATTTTTAGATGCTATGGGTATTGGTAAGGATCGTAAAGCCTCACTCTTCACTGGTAATATTGACTTGGAAGCTCTTAATACACATTTTGCTACAGTTCCTTTAATAGAACATACTATAAAGGCTAACACTCTTTATTCCCTTGCTCTTGGTTCTAAACCTAACACTACGCTTTTTAATTTTTCACCTATTTCTCCTAAGGAAGTTAAGATGCATATAATGGCTATAAAATCTGATGCCATTGGTAGCGATGGAGTAAGTCGAAAGATGATTCTCTTAGCTCTCAATCATATACTTACAGTTCTCTGCCATATCTTTAATCATTCTCTCTCTTCAAGTACCTTTCCTAGCTGCTGGCGTTCAGCTTACGTTATTCCTATTCCTAAAATTTCCAATCCTTCATCGTTTTGTCACTATAGACCAATTTCTATACTTCCTTTTCTTTCTAAGGTGCTTGAACGTGTAGTTCACAGCCAACTGTCATTACATCTTTCAAAGCATAATTTGCTCAGTCCCTACCAATCTGGATTTCGACCTGGACATAGCACGACCACTGCTCTGATTAAAATCTGCGATGACATAAGGAATGGGATTGACAATCAGCAAGTTAGCATAACTGCTTTATTAGACTTCTCAAATGCTTTTAATACTGTAGACTTCGACATCCTCTTAGCAATCCTTGAGTCAATGAATATTTCATTGGGTGCTGTTGACTGGTTCCGTTCATATCTCTTTGATCGCAAGCAATGCATTCGTGTCGAGGACAAGCACTCATCTTTCTGTTACCTTAAAGCGGGTGTCCCTCAAGGCGGTGTCCTTTCTCCTCTCCTTTTTTCTATCTTCATCAACTCCATAACTGAGCTTCTCTCCTTACCTTTTCACCTTTATGCTGATGACCTGCAAATTTATGTAACAACACCCATAGATGGTCTTCACGATGCCATAGCCAACCTCAATACTAATCTCAATACTGTAAGTACATGGAGTAAATCGTTTGGGTTATTTCTAAACGCGAGTAAGTCGCAGGTATCCCTATTTGGTTCTCGTCAGCTAGTATCCAAAATTAATATGTCATCCCTTTCACCTATTTTATTCGACGGGACTAGACTGCAAATTCGCAGCTCGGTTAAAAATTTAGGCCTTATAATGGACAATTCCTTATCTTGGGTGCCTCAGATTTCGGAGGTAAGCAGAAAGTTTTTCGCTGTAATTGGTCGGTTGAGGAGGTGGAAGAAATTTTTGCCAATAAAAACTAAAGTATCCCTAGCACAATCCCTTCTCCTTCCTATACTTGATTATGCCGATACATGCTATCCCGACTTGTCGCAGATTCAACTCAATAAACTGGAACGTTTGCAAAATATGGCAATCCGATTTATCTATGGCTTAAGAAAATTTGACCACATTTCTCAATATCGAGCTCAACTTAAATGGCTCACCGTTAAGCAGCGACGGAACTTGCATATCCTTACTCTCCTATACACTATCCTCTTTCACTCCCACACTCCTCCTTATCTTAAAACAAGGTTCAATTTCCTTGGTTCTATCCATTCCCTAAACCTTCGCTCGCAAACCGACAACAAATTAGCATTGCCCGTCAGTCGCACCCAAAGCTATGGCGACTCGTATACAGTAAAAGCTGCAATATTATGGAATGCCTTACCACAGGACATTCGCCAGTCGGAATCGGTGCAAGTATTCAAACGTCGTCTTAAACACTACTATTTGTCGCTATAAGTCTATGTATATTTATGTAAGCCCTGTTTATGTAAGTTTATTGTAGAATATATATGTTTATTGTTTATACTTATATATTATAATATATATTTATGTATGTCCTTATCGATATTTATGTAAGCTTGTGTGTACTTTATAGTATGTACCGTTTAAGTAAGTTTATTATAGACTAGTTCTTTTTTTTTTTTTGCACCAACCATAATCCATGTCACCCTATGAGTTTCTTTATAATATAGGTTGCCTGGAAGAGATCACTTTAGTGATAAGGCCGCCTTTACACTAATATTAGTTAAGTTATATATTCTTGTATATTGTATTTTTATTTTTGGTGTAATAAAGGATTAATAAATAAAAATAAAATAAATAAATTCACCGACGATCGAGAGGGAAAGGCAAGAGAGAGAGGACTCTTCCTGTTCCAGCAGTTCGTCAAGCAGCGAACCCGAAGAAGAGGAACCTCCGCGCAAGAAATCAAAACGAGATGCTCAGGTAACGGTCGATCTCCGGATCGACGCGTTATACGAACAGGTCAGTTTCCTTACAAATTTAATTATGCATCAGCAATGTGCGTCATCATCAAATACAAATGTGACCGCGAAAACCACTGACGTGATTGAACAACCTGAACAGAATAATGATGATTTCTTGACCAATCCTTGCTCTATTACACCAAAATCATTAGATTTAGGTTTTTGTAAAACTGATTTTGATGAGAAAAAAGTTCTTAAACCAGCCGATGAACAACGTTTAAACCAGTTAATAAAATTGCAACATTTTAATTCGTCTACGTGGCAACACATTCGGTATAAAAAAGCATTGGCAGACATGCTTGCGTTCCCAGGCTTTTGTAACTTAAAAATTAATGACGAAATATGTTGTTTAAATAAGGGCAAAGATTTCCTGGCCTCAACGGAGGAAATTATGGCTGCAATTACCAATGCTTTACTATACCAAAGGCAATTGCTACAATCAGGTTTACAAGAAATTGTTAATTGGTCTCACAATAATCCTACGGAACTAACCTCTAATAACCTTTTTAATAAAATAAGCGAAATGTTCGGTAATTCGTCGCCATCTTATAAATTATCTGAACAAACATTACAAATCGTCTGCGGGAAACGAGCGGAGTGTATAGAAACTAGGCGTAAAAGATTAATTAGCGAAATTTCTGATAAAAGTATTCAAGCCGCTCTCGTTAACATACCTCCCAGCGAGGAATTTCTATTCGAGAAGACACAATTGATGTCGCTGGTGCAATCCCTCGGCGGGCCTCATTATTGGTTATCACCCCCACAAATCTCTAAAAATAGGGACCAAGTAAAAAGGAAATACCATGAATCCATACCATCAACATCCAAATCTAGGCCACAAGGACAAGATAAAAATTATTTTCAAAATACCTACAAAAAATCAAACACTAAAAAAACTTACAAAGGAAAGACTGATGCTTACAAACAACAAGGAAACCCGTCCTTTCGAAGCAAAAACAAGAAAATATGACTATCTAATACCATTCAGGGGCGGTCGTCTAAAGACGTTCAAAAACCGTTGGCAGGCACTTGGCGCGAACAAATTTATAATATCGGCAATAACTGGTTTTCGAATACCGTTTTACAAGAAACCTCCTCTAATAATGCCAACAAGGCTTGTTATGAGTCGGTTTGCAACCAAACCGTCGCCGGCCATGACTCAAATAATGCAAGACCTCTTGGATCAAAAAATACTGCAGCCTGTTACAAAAGAAACGCCCAGTTTTATCTCCAAGCTATTTCTGCGGAAGAAAAGCGACGGATCGATGCGACCTATTTTCGATCTACGAGAATTAAACAAATTCGTAAAGATAAAGCATTTTCGCCTTATTTCTCACAGTTCAGTGCCAGATTTTCTCCAACCGGGAGACTGGATGATAAAATTAGACATTTCTCAGGCATACTTTCATGTAGCTGCAGCAAAATCTCACTGCCCATTCCTTCGAATCAGTTACCTAGGTCAGCTGTACGAGATGACCTGTCTACCTTTTGGCCTGGCATCAGCGCCACATCTCTTTTCGTCCATAACATGCTGGGTCGCGGAGACCCTGCGTGCCAAGGGATGTCGTGTACTAGTCTACCTAGACGACTACCTTCTGGTCAACCAAGACCAATCCAAGTTATGTCTTCAGGCCTCGGCGGCCGTGAGGCACTTGGAATATCTGGGCTGGAGCCTCAATTACCAAAATCGATCTTGACTCCGACTCAAGACCTAGAATATCTTGGTATCCGCTGGCAAACCGCCAGGAACAGAATGTCATTACCAGAAAAGAGGATACAGAATCTCAAAGCAACCATAGATCGTTCGTTACTAAGAGGCCATATCACGCTTCGCGAACTACAGAGCCTACTGGGACAGCTAAATTTCGCCAGCTTTGTCATACCCCGAGGCAGGTTACATTGTCGGAAAGCACAAATCTTTCTTCGGCATTTCAACAAGAGGCAACCACGACAGAGACAACTAATTCCCGAAACGGTATATCAAGAGATGAGGTGGTGGCTCGGCGCCACACGTCACTCTTCGCTAATACACAAAAAGCCGGTTACTCATTTCCTAGCGACGGACGCTTCGGATCTGGGTTGGGGTGCTCATCTAAATGGGCATCTAATGTTGGGGACGTGGTCTCGTCAGCAACAAAAATGGCACAGCAACAAAAAAGAGCTTTATGCAGTAATGGCAGCGATCAGAACAAACGCTGCAGCGTTAAGCAAATCCCATGTACTCATCCAATCGGACAATCGAACTTTAATTGCGTATATTCGAAAAGAGGGCGGAACAAGATCGTTGACACTACTAAGTTTGACTTACAAACTACTGACCCTAACAGACAAGTTCAAGATAACTCTTTCGGCACATTATCTACCAGGGAGGTACAACACAATTGCAGACAGATTGTCACGAGGGAAAGAGGTTGCGGAATGGCATCTCTTACCACAAGCAACTGGAGAAGTCTTCCGGAAATGGGGTCGACCGGAAATAGATCTCTTTGCTTCACAACGAAGTGCTGTAGTAAAAAACTACGTATCAATAGATTGCAGAGATCGATCAGCAAGTTATATAGACGCCTTCAGCAGACCTTGGCAATACCAACTAGCATGGGTATTCCCTCCACCGAGCCTATTACCCAGAGTCTTGGCACACCTAAACAACGCGACAGGGACTTATTTAATAGTGGCACCGGAGTGGCCTCAAGTCTTCTGGCTTCAAGATCTGAAGTCCAGAGCATTGGATCACCCACACGAAATTTCGAATCTATCGAAAACAATGATCGACATGACAACGTCACAGCCACCTCCACAAGTAGATCTATTAACCTTGAAAGTTTGGAAAATTGGGGGTGGGGTTCCAAATAAAAGAGTGGTCTACACAAGAGAAGGAGCTGCTAAGAAATAGCTGGCGAAAGTCTACTCTAGCAACATATCTACCTGCCATTAAAAGATGGTTGAAGTGGTGTAACAGTACTCAAGTAAATCCAAAATCACCTAATCCTGCTGACATTGCTAAATTCTTAATCTATCTTTTCCTTAACGAAAACTTATCTTATAGCACTATTTTGGTACACAAGTCGGCTGTATTAACTTTCTGTGGGCCTTATGTAGAACAACAAACATTTACAAACTTCATTATAAAACATGCCCTTAAGGCAATTGGGGTAGCTAAACCAAAATCAGTTAGGTCATTTGTTAGTTGGGACCCAAATGTAGTTCTGGAATGGCTTTCAGCTAATTCACCTAAAGATACGCTCTTTGAAATATCGCGTAGAACAGCAACAGTGTTATTGCTAGCTTCTGGACGTAGAGTCCACGATCTTACCTTGTTGCGAATTTCCAAAGACAACTATCTTGATAATGGACAAAACATCTATTTAATACCGGCATTTGGTTCAAAGACTGACAGACATGACTGCCGCCAATCTGCTTGGAAGCTGTCTAAACATCCTGATAAGAACATCTGCCCAGTTAGTTTAGTTAGATGTTTAATAGAGAAAACCAAACAAAGAAGGTCGGATATTAAAGACTTAGACAACCTCTTCATTACAATTAGTAATAAAGTAAAATTTGCTTCCCGTACTGTAATAGGCAACTGGGTGCGCACAGTTCTTAAAGACAGTGGTATTGATGCTTCCCCAGGGAGTTGTAGGTCAGCTGTAGCTTCACTGGGGTGGTTAGATAATCAACCCTTAGATGATATATTAGCACGGGGTAACTGGAAATCTTCCACTACATTTTTTAATCATTACTGTAAAGTAATTAAAGTATCTAAAAATGACCATAATTCCTTTTTCAATACATTCACGTCATTATAAATTTATGATTTAAATTAGTTAATAATAAATAATTAAGAGATTTGCAATAAAAAAGGTGTAACAATTATATACAAGTTAATATTGTTAAAAAATAAATAAATAAATATTATAATTATATATAATATATAATTTACTTTCATATTAAACTTTTATTATTCTCATTTTACTATTCATCATAGCGTTGTGTTTATATACCTACAATCTACATATTTCACCAGCAGATAACAAACACGTCTTCATATACAATGCTGTATGTTTTCCGGAGGCACATCAATATAACGGTTTTACATAATAATAAAACCGATATTATGTGCCGAGAGGGAAAACATACAGCATTGCAGGAAGTCCTTCCTGGTGAAGACTATGATATTCAAAGTGACAACGTTTTGCCGTGTCCTAGCTGGATTTTCTACTACCGTCAATTTAAAATTTAGTATAGGGTAGTTGAAAAGTAGATGACATATTCCACAGACCGTAAATAAATGGCAAAGTATACACTGCTTCTTTATATACAATGCTGTATGTTTTCCCTCTCGGCACATAATATCGGTTTTATTATTATGTAAAACCGTTATAATGTATAATCATAATTCACTATATCGAATTATGAACTTGCTACTCGTATGTGATTACTATAAATTAAAAGTAATTTAGATTGAAATTGATAGTATTTTATTGCCGTTACATCCACACTTAATATACATTTATAATGTGTGTTTGTTTGTTTGTTTGTTTGTTTGTTTGTTTGTTTGTTTGTTTGTTTGTTTGTTTGTTTGTTTGTTTGTTTGTTTGTTTGTCTTTCTTTCACGTCGAAACGGCTTGGGGGATTGGCGTGATTTTTTGTGTAGAGATAGATGAGGGGCTGAAGAGTGACAAAGGCTACTTTTTACCGTGGGAGATTATCTCTTTCCCGCGGAAAACACGTTATAATACAATCTAAAAGAATATTTATAATCAGAATTATTTAAAACTTAGTATAAATGCTCTTTAATACAATTAATTAAATACGTGTTTTAGCATTTTTCGAAACTCATCCATCCCATAAGGGGGTAAAATGGCGGATGAAAGTTTGTATGAAACCTACCATTTTAGAGTTTTTGTTTGTAGTTTTAGCGCGGGCGAAGCCACGGGTTCTGCTAGTATGTGTATAAGAAATTAAATTCACCAATATAAAAAATCCTTTTATTTACGCTATAAGAATAAGGTACTTTTTACTACGGATATTGGTGGAAACGGATACGTAACTCTTAAAGTTCGATGGTACGATAATTCGACTCGCAGATACTATAGCTTTATGTGTTTTTCGATGCATGAGGGTAGAACCTGGCCAATTTCCCAAATCCGGACTGTTACTGAGAATGTAACTAGAGAAAAACTTTAACTGAACTGGTCCGACCCGGGACTCGACCCCAGGAGCTTCAAATTTCGAGCTGCACATGAGCTGCACTATATCAAAGAGGAATATTTTTATATGTCATTTCTAATTTAGCTGAAAAGATACATTTTATTACCTGACATTGACAGCAACCTCAATGGTGTCGGTCTCAGCGTTCTTGACGGAGAACTGCGCGATGACGGCGCGCACCACGCCGATGATGTCGTCGGCCACGTCCGCGCCGCTCGAGATCAGCTTCGACAGCGCTTGCAGCGTTGTCGGCGTCAGCCCTGAGGTGGGTGAGGAATGGTTTTATGATATGTATATAATCAGAATGTGTTAATGCTTTCTTTAGGCCCTTTTCCCATTACGATACGTCCAGTCGACTCTACATTTTCTATAATCTAGCGACTCACCCAACAGAGCTTGAAGACTGGCGGAGCATTGCGTCAATCTTTCTTCAGGATCACTTTGTGGGAAGAAAACACTCGACGGGATGCCATTTGCCGCCGGCTCAAATCTGTACCACAATCAAATACAATAACTGTTATGAATAAAAAAATATTCAAAAAATCTTATTAGTTTAATTGCATAAAATACATTTCGAGTTTGAGTTTGACGCATATTGTACGTATTTTTTGAGGCCTAAAAATGCAAAAGAATATAGTAGTAGTTTTTTTATTATTCATATTTTGTTTGTTTCGTTTCAAAACTTGTAAAATAACTATTAATAGGCACCTATATGAAATTTCCTTATTCTCTGAAAAAACTAAACGACTGTAGCATAAACAGAAAATCACGCTACTACACCTTAACGTCTTTTTGGCGGGCTCTGTAGTTGTTTAGTCTGTGTGTATGTAGACAGTACGTACCTAAAGCCCACGCTCATGAGCAGCTCACGCCAGCCGCCGGCCGCACCTGCCTTGTTCTCGATGCTCTTCTGCGTGGTGTACATCGCGTTCTTCTGCCCGCGCACTATGCGCTGCAGGGACTTCTCCACTAGGTGCAGGCACACTCGTAATGCGTCACTGTAACATTATATTAATATTAAATCAATTCTATTGAACTATCATTTATATGGATAATTGATAAAAATACTTCGTAAAAATATTCGTAACTTTTTGTAAGAATGTGCTTTGTTTACAGATATTAGAGAGCTAAAATGTGAATATAACATAATAATTATTAATAAATCGTAATTTTGTAAAGGAATTAGCGACTCATTCTCGCTTCGCTCGGGTTCTTTCGTACTTACGTTTTAACGTTTAGTATAGATTTTTCAGAGATGAGGTATATTCTCGCAATAAAAAGTATCCTATATGTTGACTCGGATAATCAGCTAACATCATACCAAATTTCATCAAAGATTTTCCAAAAAATATTTAAAGTACAGATTCAGCTTCGTTACAATTTTATTACATACATAGATGTGGTAAGATTATACGTGCGAAATAAAAATACTTCTATATAAGTATGTAATGTACATATGTAACGTACCGGCACTTGTCGGGCGCGGCGAGCAGGTCGCAGAGCGCCTGGCCGAGCAGCGCCACCTTGTTGCTGAGGCGCGCGTTGGCGCCGAGCAGCGCCAGGCCCGCCCAGTGCGCGGGGTGCGCGAAGTGCTTCGTGTGCCGCACCGTCTGCATCGCGTCGCCCAGCGCTCTGTAACACCGACCGTGTTTTAATTATTGTTTTAATTTTTATTTACTATCGGCATTCCCTGACTGTGACTCTGAATATGATTCGTTATGTAAATAAATGGAACTATGAAATAACACCACAAAATTATACAGAGCGAATGACCAAGAATATATACGTTAGAAACAAAGAGAAGAACAAGTACAGTAAATAAATAATGATGTAGACAGAAAACGTAGACAATACAAATAACATAAAGCCTATACCTAAACTATAGTACCATAAGTACCTATATTTCTCAAAAATAAGCAGCATGATTGAATAGCATAGAAAATGTCACTAATTACACACACAGGCGTTATAAGACGCAATATGAATACTAAATGTATATGCGTAAACATCTGTAAGCTGACCTTATCACCGCGAGAAAAACTGCAAAAATTACACTTTGTCAATACCTACAATCCCTGTAGTATGTATACGTAATATCTGATGAACTCACTTGGCGACCCGGCTGCCCTGCAGGAGCGCGGAGTAGAGCGCGCGGTAGAGTATCTTGGTGGCGGTGTCCTGCGGCGCGGGGCGCAGCGCCACGAGCACGGCGTGCGCGCCGGCCGCCAGGAAGGCGCGGCCGAGGCGCGCCACGCCCTCGCCCGCCGCCGTCGCCGCGTCCGCCGCCTCCGCCGCCTCCGCCTCCTGCAGCACCGCGCTCGACGGCGCACACGATAATACCACCTGCGGAATACATACATTTAAATTTTTTGTCTACTATATATATTATATATGCTATATTATATATGCTATATTATATAGTACTTATAATAATTACGATACAAATAGTATGTTTAAATTACATCATTCAATGAAAGTAAAATAAGCAACAAACATTCACTCCCTCACGAACTTTTGCATTTATAATATTACTAGCGGCTCACCCTAGCTTCGCTGGGTACGATTTAAATAGATATAGGTAAATAGTTATCGTCCAGCGTTGACCATGTATGATGTAAATGTAATTTTTATCCGTTATTTTTTTCGATGTTTTAATACTTATTATCCTATTCCGGACTAAGAGAAATCTAAAAAAAATCAAATATCATAAAAATTGGTCCAACCGTTCTTGAGTTATAAATGGTGTAACTAACACGACTTTGTTTTATATACATACATATATAAATAGATATTAACATGATATAACTCGATAAAAGTCTGAAGTATCATAATTTCCGAAAGGCACTTATGAATATGTACAATTTATAAATAATTAATTTTAAACTTAACGGTCTCTTAAAGTTTTACAATTTTTGACTACACCTATAGAAAATTTCATTAATATATTTTTTTATAATTGATCAATATTTTTATACTTTACGTACCAATCTAGCAGTGATTTTTAGATTCATGATCTCAGACGCCGTCAGCATGAATTCCGAAGTTGGTGGCAACTCTTCATTGCTGGGAGGCAGTTCTGCATCTATATTTTAATCGCACATTTTAAAATGATGTACATTTAAAAAAATATATTATATTCTCAATTTGGGTAAAATATTTTGAGTCGACTACGAATAAGGAGGAATTGAACTTGCGTTCATTTAATGCGATATATTCATACATTGTAAAAATTATTGTTATTCTGAAGAATAGGCGTATGCTTGCTTTAGGTGCGCTCTTCTATAAATATCAGGAAAACTCAACAACTATAATAATTGAATTTTCAAGTACTTTTTAGTAAAAGCGATTATTAAATTTAAAGTAATCATAAGTTGTAAGTAAACAGTTTCTATGTAAAAGAGAAGTTATACGATAACTTTGTGTAAACTTTTCGCACAAGCAGAAAAAATTTAGAAGGAAATAAACATTAAGAGTTTTACTATATCACTTACTATCTTCTTCGTTTTCAGTAGACGTATCTGCGACTCCACTGCCCACACTAGTATTGAGCAATCTTTTGGATTGCGAGTCGACCTAAATATAATTCAACATTATAAGTATGAGAATGTATTAAATACAGCTAAAAATAATTGTAACAATCAATTTGAATTATAACAAAATTACTATGTATAAAGAATTCTTTAACATATTATGGCTATTCCACATGTACTCACCACTTCTCCCGGACTGAGCACGATCCCAGGTGTTTTCCAGCAGATATGCGTGGCGAAGTGGACGCACTCAGCTTGCGGCAATTGCGCCAACACTGCTTCTTTGGAAGCCTGGTAATGAGATTGAAAATGTTTTTATTTATTTAAACACGAGTAATATCTAATACGTGATATCAATAAATTGTTATGCATATTATTACGAGAGTGGTTAAGAATCTTTTATAATCTGCTTAAATTAAAACTTGTAAATTTGCCTGTATCTTTGTAAATATTCCAAGCCCATACGGTTATGGAACACCATACAAAGCGTAAATAACAATCAAAACAAAAATTGCTATTTTTATCCACTAAACTATGCAACAGCTAAACACTAAAGGAGTATTTATTCCGGGTACATTTTATACCTGGGACAGGATAAGATTCACGCAAGCAAAAGTAGATAGGAATAGTTTCTTAGATTTACGCGAATAGTCGAAAGTCGAGTCTTTATTATATAATAAACATGCATATAAATACTTCATATTTATTTCAAATAGATAAGAACAGTAAAGCATAAACATCTTTACTAATATTATAAATGTGAAAGTTTATGAGTATGGATTTTTAGTATTCTTTCACGCCAGAATGGCTGCACGGATCTGGATGAAATTTGGCACATATGTAGATACATTATAGTCTGGAATAACACATGGTTACTTCTTATCCCGGAAAAAGTACGGTTGCCGTGGGGTAGGTTTGTGTTTGTTTTACATATACAATTAAATTAATTCACCTGATAATCAATGAGCGGCGTGACCCGCAGCATGTCGGCCACGAGCTCCGCCTCCTTGAGCAGCGCGTGCGCCGCGCCCCAGCGCACGCCCGCCACCAGGCAGCGCATGCCCTCCGCGCCCCCTCCCCCGCCCGCGCCGCTCGCGCTGGCGCCTGTGTTCGCACCTAGGAGAATAGATAATAATCCTACTATTATCACAGAAATTAAAAAAAAATATACAGTAGGTCGCCTTAAATCTTGACGGAAATTTTGTTAAAAGTGAGAGTCGTTAAAAATATCAATTTTCACGAGGATGATTTCCTAGTGAAAGCGAACTGGGCCATCTCATCATAATTTACAATTATATACGTCGATTCTGAAGACTTTCCCGACTTTCATATAAATGATTCTCGGAAGTGTGTCACTCGCGTCTCGTTAGGTTATAAAAACCGCAATACCGCGTAATCTGTTTTAAAAATAACTTATAATTTACATTTTAGCTTGTTTGATCATACCTATTATCTACACATAGGACTCTGAGTATTTTCGTATATTTTATTAACAAAACCTAAACACTCACCATGATCATGATGCGGTTTCCGCGCGTGCCGCTTGAGCGGCCTGAGCGCGGGCGCCACCAGCAGCGCGTACCGCTCGCAGAGAGGGTCGGCGCCGGCGTCGGCGCGCAGCGCGCCCCACGGACACGCGTACAGCGCGCCCTCCGCCGCCAGCACGAGCTCGCGCCGCCCGCCGCACCCGCGCCGCGCGTGCCGACCTGAGGTCATTACCGTTTATTACATTTACTTGTAAATAACTGACACGATGTCTACAAATTACCTTAAACATTACTGGTTGTATATCCTTTTCATCATTCCCTACTAGTGCTAATGCTAAATTACTATATAAATTAGCTAAGATATGTATAGATTTAAGAAAATAATTTAATTTTTTATTTAACTTACATGGCAACATAGTCAACTTTAAATAAAGAAAAATAAATAACTGACAGGAACTTTTGGAAACTTCTTCTTTATCTGGCTTTGGTTAAATCGACTTGTTACTATGCTGTGCCTAATAATGGTTTAACGATTTTAAAAGTACATATACCTATGAAGTTCAGATTACCATATTTTACTGAGATACTGTAAAGGTGATTTGATAATGGTATCAGTAGATCTATAATAGATTTCCATGTTGCGATGTTTACTCGTAATCTTTAAATACTAATTATTATTAGATTTGCTTTCATATGAGACTATTATTAACTCTATCTTATATTGACTCGCGTTTTACATTTCACTGGAGAGCGAATAGAGCAAGCAGAAACCGTATTTTTGGACAAAAATATTTCTTGAAATATATTTCTTGACCTGTGTGCATAAAAGAGCAAACACAATCTTTAAGTTAATAATTCACATAATATTTAAAAAAAGAAAAGGCCTTCAAATAGTATAATAAAAACATAAAAAAATGTGATATTGATTAATAACTTTAAAATTTTAAAAAATTATCTTTCAAACTAATATTCCCAACATATTAGATATCAAGAAATATATATCAGAAGCAGCAAGCAAAGAATGAAATATCTAACCGTGATTATTATTACAAGACGTAGGCAGCAAGTCCTCGAAGGGCGCGATGAGCATCTGGTAGAGCGCGCTGAGGCAGGGCGGGCCCTGCCACGGCGGCTGCTTCCTGCGCGGCGCGTGGATGCTCGACCTGCCAATAGTACTGCTGGTTATCATTGGACTGTTTTGCCCTCGGTTTCGTTAAATAAATATTTATATCTTTACTAATATCATAAAGAGGTAAAGTTTGTGAGTTTGTGACGTTGTAGGGGGTAATCTCTGGATCTACTGAACCGATTTAGATGAAATTTGAAAAGAAGACAGTTTGAGACCCTGGGAAGGACTTGAGAAAGGGTCTTAGTATATAAGTCTAAATAATTAACAAACACACTGATTGACTTGTGTATATAAAATTATTTATTTATTTAGTTATAAAAATTCGGCGTTTTTGCGATATCTTCACTGATTATCACTAAGAATACACATCCAGCCAACAGATAGATATACTAAACTTTAATCGCGCACATTTTAAATGGCAATGTTTAAATATGTTCATCTAAAGTTGGTTAAAAGAAAATGTGTCAGTATGGAACATAAAATGGCGAATTTCAATATTCTAAACGAACAAGTCAGATAATAGACCTATTAAAAATTGTTTTATTCTTTTTGTGATAAATATGTGCAGGTTGAAGTATATATCTTTGAACTGAATATAATTTTATGTGTTCACCTGGTGGACCCTTGCAAGCTGGCGACGGAGCCGGCGACGGAGCCTCCCACCGAACCCACGCTGAACAGCGAGCTTAAGGAATAGTTCGATGAGTTCAGGAGATGGTTTCTGGTTACCTATTGATAAAAAAATTATATCATAATTTTGATGTCAGGTATTTGAGGTAAATACTAGAATAAAAATAGAATTGCACAGCTTATCATCTAGAGGTTTTAAACTGACTTCCAAAAAGGAGGAGGTTCTCAATTCGTCGGAATCTTTTTTATTTATGTATGCTCACCGATTACTCGAAGAGCCTGAACTGATTTGGATTTTTTTGTTTCAAAGGGTATATATACTTCCCAGGTAGTCCCATATAAATTTTATCGAAATCGGTCGAGCGGTTTTAAAAAAAATCAACAATACATATTTTTTTGTAATTGTTTAATCGAATGTTAGTTTTTTTAAATTAATTGTTAAGTCGGTGCCAGCCTACAATATTTTAAGATATGAATATCTAATAGTTAATATGTAATTTACGTATTGAAGTATATTAGATTTGCTTTCACCGCACCGGCTTTTGCGGCACCGACTTCGGAAATATCTTATTAGGTATCTATTCTAAATGAAAAACTCCGTTTACTTATTTTTTATATTTTAGTGCCTGGAAGTCGGTTTTTATTTTTGTTAAAAAGTTTTTATTCAATATTATGTAAGTTACGTAACTACATATATCAAATATTCTTCGGTATAGAATATATCAGGTTTAAATTTTATATTTTTGGTAACAATATCTAGAAGATATTATACACTGTGAGCGATAATAATTTCTTACCATCCTGGCGAGTCCAGTGCTCGGTCGATCTTCAGGATCCCACTGGTCTTCTTCACTTCTCCTTTCAGCGGTTTTGAGCCAAGCAAACCATTCTTTTATAAATCGTTCTAATTTACCAGCACCTTTATGAAGATAAAAAATGAAATGTTTTTAAATTAATTAGTTAATTAAAGACTAAACTTTGAATAATCTAAATTATGAGGTTTAACTATAATTATTTTCAAAATGGTTAAAAAAATATCTCACTTGTGTTAGTTTGAAGTTCATCGGGACTGATGTCAGGAAGACTGTTATCTCCGTCTTCTGCTTGATCGAGGAGACACGTTTGATGGAACCTTAGAATACCTGATGGAAATATTGTTATTATTAAAAAAGGTAATGTTGTAAAGGTATGTTACATATTAACCCCAAATAGGTTTGTTGTAGATATAAAAAAAAACATTTCAAATTTTAGAATGAGAAAACTATATAATTGTCTATTAGTTGTAAAGCAATGCACAGTCAGTATGTTAGATAAGTCGTTGTAACCAATTTAAACGGCTGTAAAGCCTTGCCATGCTCTCAGTCCTGGATTCAAATCAAATCAAAATATACTTTATTCAAATATACTTTTACAATTCCAATTTTAAAATTCTAGTCTCGGGCTGAATTTAAAGGAGTTGCAGACTTTGTTTTGTATGTATGTATGTCTAACCTTTATGAGGCTGTAATAACCAGGCGTAGAGTTTCCCAGCGGCGATGCTGAAGTATAAGACAGGGGACTTCTGTTTGTTCACGACCTCCAGGATGTGGTCGAGCGTGGACGGACTCCATGGCTCTGAGCGCTCTTTGCTTGAATCTTCTACAATGTTTCTGCTGAAGAATTATCGGGTTATTATATATTTGAAGATCTCGAATCGATCTAGACCATAGAGCACAGGTACATGATTTTCAAAACGGTCTTTATAATTTTATATGAAACATTTTTTCTTTAACCAGAATAACTTTATAATCAGATTACAGATGGTTTTTCCGAATATTACTTTAAAGGATTTTTATTATTAATAATAATTTACGACTTACCAACGCTCCACTCGGGTGCGTCTCTAGGCGCCTAACAGTGACCTCCAGTCCAGCCGTTTCAGCATGAAGGAGTAACAAGCACGCACGCACATGCACACACACACACAAATTCATATACAATAGTATTCGGATACCTCTGAGCAGTATGCAGTTCCAGGTTGGCCTGGTTGAGGGTGCTGGTGGGCTTGTCGGCAGCGTGCTCGAGCGCGCGGCTGCGGGCGCGCTCCGCCACTATCAGTGCTTCGTGGTTGCGTCCCAGTTCTGTTATAGACACATGTTTGTATTATTGGTTAGTTAATTTCAAATGTAGGCTGACTTTGTTTTGCTTATAACTATACTAGCGACTCATCCTAGCTTAGCTCGGGTTCGTGCCTAGATACGTCTTAACGGTTAGTATGGAATAGACAGACTATTATATACATAGGTATGATATTGTGGGTTGTACTATACTTTTATTCTCGTGGGAATAAGATATTCTCCAGCGGTAAAAAGTAACCTATGTCTCAGCCCTCCAACTCTGCTTCGACGTAAAAGAACAACAAACAAACATACAAATAAACAAACACACTTTTACATTTATAATATTACTAACAGAACCCACGGCTTCGTTGGCGCTAAAACTACAAAAAATGTCTAAATAGGTAGTTTCATACTAACTTTCATCCCCTATTTTACCTCCTTATAGAATGAATTTAGAAAAATGCTAAAACACGTATTTATTTAATTTTATTGAAGAGCATTAATACCAAGTTTCGAGTAATTCTGATCATAAATATTTTTTTGGATTGTATTACAACGTGTTTTCCCATGGGAATTAGATAATCACTTGCGGTAAAAAGTATGTCACTCTTCAGCCCTCCAACTATCTCCACACAAAAAATTACGCTAATCCGTCGATCCGCTTCGACGTGAAAGAAGGACAAACAAACGAACAAACACACTTTCACATTTATAATATTAGTATGGATAAGTATGGATTTATAGTTTAAGGTATGATAATTACAAATAGCTAGTATTTTGTAGAAAATGAAACTTCTATATACTGTGATTTTAGTTGATTATCTCAACACTATTTATGATTTGCAAGCAAGGATTTGTTCTATCGTACTTATATAATAATAAATGTTAGATAATTGAGCTTATTTTCGACCCATTTATGATCGTTTAAATTAGTCTTACTTAAATGTAACTTTGATGAAACTGAGCAATATATTTCAAGCCACTTTTTATAATATTGTTGAAAAAAAACTCTTTACGCATATTCTGTAAATTAATAATACGTTGTCTATTATGTTATTGTAATTTTTTTTAGACTTACCAACAAGCACTCTTTGTAAAGCATGTTGCGTAGACTTATACAATGCAGACGCTTTCCTATCGCGATGCTTGTCATGCCCAGACTCTAGTACAGTGAAGGCGGCGTGCAGTTGCTCCTTCGCTTCTTCTAGTTCCCCCGACGCCCACAGCGCAAATCCTAATCTGTGACGTACTCGGGCCTAGAGAGAATTTGTGGTATTATTTTTTGCTAACAATTTCAAATATTTTTTTATGGAATATAGATGTGTCCGCAAACTTAAATAGACTGTATTTCTTATACTTTCAAATTCAATGGGAATAAAAAAAACGCGGCATGTACTCCACCTCGTCGCAACTCACAATTACTTTACAGAATACCCCAGTAATTACACTTAGCCTAACCTAGAATACCAACCCAAAAATTCACAAAAGGGAATTTACAATATATTGTATTTATTTTGTTTTACTTATTCTTATATATTTTCTTATCGTTCCTTTGCGCTTTCTCTTTCTGTCCAGTAACACTATTTCCCACATACATGGGTTGACTGGAAGAGCTCACTTATATGATATAAGTCCACCTTTGTCCACGTCATTTTCTATGTATTTTTTATTACTATTATTTAGTGCAATAAAGAATATATAATAAAAGGTTACCTCTTCATCAATATCAGCGAGTCCCTCGGTAGCAGCGAGTGCTTGCCGCAAGTACGAGACGGCGCTCCCACATGCGCCCATCGCGAGGTGCGCGCGCCCGAGGTCCGCCAGCGCGTGCGCGCGCCCGCGCGTGTCACCTGCCGGAATCATGTGGTAGCTCTTGTACTATTATTTTATATATGATAAAAGTGTTGATGGTATATATGTATTATATGTTGCGCTGAATGAGGGAGAGAGGGGCGTGTAGATGTTATTTGTACATATGTATTTTCTGATATATAATAGTAAGTTTTAGGATAAATATAAATCAAAGCAATATTGTATTTGTGAACTTTAATAAATAGATTATCGAGTACCTATTGAAAGGTTAAGAAATGAAAAAAAGATTCTACTCGCTTGTCTCGTGGATTTGGCAGTAATATGCTATAAAATATAGACGGACAAACAGATCGCATTTATAGTAGCAAAAACACGTGAAAGTAAAAATAAATCAATCAGTCATTAGTATAACGCCCAGTGTCCACGTACCGGAGGCGGTGGCGTGCCGCAGCCGCGACTCGTGCCAGCGCGCGGCCTCCGCGTGCGCGCCCAGCGCCGCGTGCGCCCCGCCCAGCCCGCCGCACGCGCGCGCCTGCACAAACGTGGAGGTTGCTTGTAGATTATTTGATCTTTCACCTTTGTAACTAACTGTTACAAAGACTTACAAAAAACCAGTCCAAACAGAATATAATGTTACTCTACTACTATATGTTATTCCAGGTTGTATTATATCTGTGTAATAAAGTTATAGAAATTCGTCTAGCTATTTCTGCGTGAAGAAGTAGCCTATGTATAGATACATATACATACAAACTTTCGCATTTATAATAGTAGTCCAATGTACCTATATCTATCCAATAAAAACACGTACGTGACATCAATAAAACATTTGATTCAAACTCTAAAGAATGCGAGTTTATCTATCTTTATCATATCTGTAGAGTATTGATTTTCATTAAGGATATAAATAAAATGTAATAGTGTTAATATATCAATAATAACCTCTTGCATACAATTTAATACCTCCAGGTAAATTTCTAAAAAATTAATTAAAATTCTAAGAAAACTATTGTTAACTGACACGCCGGCGTGTCCGCGGTCGTGGAGGGATTAAACATATAACCCAGAAACTGCAATTATCCACAAAATTTTCAAGACACATACCTGTAAATGAGTGATCCCAAGTCGATGTGCGAGCTCGAGCTCTGCGCGGTGGTGCCGCACGGCGGCGGCGTGGTCGCCCAGCGCGTGGTGCGCCACGCCCAGCGAGTGACACGCTTCCGACTCCATTATTTGGTTGTTTAGTTCCCTATAGAATTATTATTTGTTAGTGGGTATAATCAGTGCTGTCTTAAGCCATGCGGGGCCCTGGGCACATAATAATGTAGGGCTCTTTTAGAAAGTTAATAACAATAATAATAAAAAAAATAAGTAAATTACAAAAATAAAAAAAATAACTTGATCGCGTAAAGAAGTCAACTAAAAAGATAACATCAAGTTGACGAAGAATCATAATATTATGCAGTCTAATATATAATTATATACAGTGCAGTGCGATGTATTATAGACTAAAAATTGAATTTCTCTCTTTTCATATGTTATCTTTTCATGACGCTCGTGAGACTGGGGCCCGTGTCTACGTGCCCCATAAATAATATAAGAGCACTTATGGTAAAGACGGAACTGGGTGTAATCATGGTATTTAAGTTTTTAAATCAATACAGTAGGCGATTATTAAATGCAAGAGTTTTCAAAAATGTAAGAGTTTTCAAAAATACCAACATTTGATACAAAAAAGGTAGCACATATAATTTAAAGAATGTTTTCTTTTAATTATATGCTAAAGTTCATTTCATTCATAAATGAAAGAGAATAACTTACTTAGCTATACTCTTCTGGTGTTCCAAACAAGACACAGCTTGTTCCAAGTTGTTGAGGGCGATGTGCAAAGCGCCAAGTTCCCCGTACGCTTGAGCCTTCGCTTCGGGAACACCAAGTTCGTGCGACACTACTAGACGCTTTTCCAGACATACTAGAGCTTGCTGAAGGTTGCCGACCGATCTGTGTCAATATTGTTTATGTATATATATATATATATATATATATATATATATATATATATATATATATATATTATGTGTAGTAACTGTTACGTTTCAGTTATAAAACACTCACTTGTGACTTAGCCCTAGTCCTCGATACGCCCGCTCCTGTTCTCTTGCATTGTCTAACTTGAGAGCAGCCGCTAAGTGCTGTTCGTGGTACTTGGCGGCTTCGTCCGGGTCGCCAAGCGCGTCGTAGCAGTCGCCAAGTGAGCCAAGTGCTCGAGCCTTATCGAGCTGGCAGGTTGGTGTGTTTACGCGTTCTAAGATAGCTAGTTGCTGGGGAAATTGATTGCTTAGAGATTGACGGATTAAATAAGATTATCTTGGTCATCGTATTGCTATGAAATTTTTTGACCAATAAAGAGATCTTAAAGAGATTTATATTAGCTTTTTAGTAATTTAGCATCAGGACCTATATTGTTTTCGATAGTTACCTGCTCTAAGTATCCGATGGCGTCCTCATAATGCCCCATGTTGAGCTTCGCGATGCCCAAGTTCCCATACGCTTGGGCTTCGAGCGCGCAGTCTTGCAGCTCTTGTGCTCTTTCTAGTTGTTCCTGAGATTCATTGATATAAATTAACCCAATATCATAAATTTTTATAATCTAAGTTATGGTTTATGTGTACTTGTAAATTAAATGTAAGTTCAATTACGAAGGTACTAGTTTTTTTCGAAATAGAGATCTGAGAAGAAACTTAGTCTTTTCACTTTTTCTTATTAAGTTAAGATTTCTAAATTCTAAAGAAATCTTTAGTCTCGGCTTTAATAAAACAAATGATTACTGTTAACTGATCGTTACTTAGAAATCAGTATTTGTTGTTTTCTTTTTCTCTTTGTTTCTTTTATTGAAATTCGAATTGTGTGAAGTTTTTAATCTGTAAAAAATAAAAAAGATACTCGTACAAGTTTTTAAACGATAATGGACAAAAACTATACGCTCAGACGTAAACTCCGCCTGGGACTTTTATATACGGAACCCTTAAAAAACAAAATGTAAATACTGTAACTAACTCGATAGCACCTAGCGGCATGCGAGTAATGTCCTAAAGCCATATGAACGGCCCCCAAGTGCGAGTGAGCGCGCGCCTCGCCTGCCGCGTCGCCGGCTTCCTGGCGGAGAGTTAATTCCTGTAATGGGGATAAGTAATATAGTTTTAAATAATTAAAAACATTTATTTATTTATTTATAGCACTTTATTGCACACGAAAATAGTACATTAACATAAAAAGAATATACAATTAAAGAGATGTGCAAAGGTGACCTTATTACTAAAAGTGGTCTCTTACAGGCAACCGAACCGAAAAGGATATAAGAAAATAAGTGAGAAGAGCGGAAAGGTGCATAAAGTGCAAATCATTAAAATTTAATATAAATAAACATACATAAAAATTTAAATATATATTTTTATTATATATATATATATATATATATATATATATATATATATATATATATATATATATATATACATAATAATAAAATAATTCAAGTTATACTTCTTTTGGCACGGTTGGAAAAAAATACGAGAGTAAAATTTTTACGATACGCGCGCACATCGACACAAAAAAGCATGACAAGACATGATGAAGTTAGCTGCATTTCTTTTACAAACAGAGAGTTGTGACATACGAGATGAAATCTTTAGCTATTTTTGTTCTGTGGCGCCAAAGACAACTTGTACACTTTTTTTATCAATTGTTGTTTTTTTTTATCAATTGACGTGAAAGAAAGACAAACAAACAAACACTTTAACATTTATAATATTAGTATGAATGTTGTCACTTTATACCTGCGTATGATGTCCTAAAGCGGCATCTAGCCTTCTCTGAAGCCTCCTTGCTAGACCTAATGCTCCACACGCTGCAGCTTCTAATGATCGATCTCGAGCCTGAATAATTAAAAAAGAATTTAAATAATTATGAAAAATGGATTCTTACATTATTAGTGGAATACATTCATATTTATACGTGATATTTTTAAGATATAGTTTCATCACACCACACTTATCGTGTTTACATATATTACAAACTAGCGACTAACCCTCGCTGTGAAAAACAAAAAAAAACTATCCCACGGGAACCGTACATTTTTCCAGGATAAAAAGTAACCTACGTGCTATCCATCATCCAGACTATAATATCTATCTCTGTGCCGAATTCCATCCAGTCCGTTCATTCGTTATGGTGTGTTTGAGTATTTTATTGAACCCCATGGAATATATTAATAGTAAAAACTAGTCTATCGTAAATGTGTAAAATTATAAAATAATCACCTGTCTAGCGAAACCAAGCTGTCGCTGGAACATTTTAACCGCCTCTTCCACATCTCCCATTTTAATCAGTACATCCCCTATATTGCCCAACGCTCTGAATTTCCCTTGCAAGTGTTGAGTCATGTGGGCTATTGCTAAAAAGTACTTTTGGCATTCTAAAGCTGTTTCTAGATTTCCCAATGCCATATGAGCTAGACCTAAATTGCAGTACGCTCGACCCATATTCATTTTGTCTTGGAGATCCTTTGCTAAAGATAGGTCTTGGTCGTAATATCTGAAAAGAGATAGTAGAAAATTAAATTAGCTTAATTTAATAAGAACACAATATATTTGAATATATTAATAGCAAAATGCACTTCTATTCAGGTCTTTTTAAAGTCCCACTGCTGGGCACGGGCCTCCCTTCAATACGAGGGAAATACGAGTTTATTAGCGCACATATGCACATATTATTAGCAAATACGTAATAGTTCAATATTACCTAACAGCTTCCTTGTAATTGCCCAAGCAATAATGAGCGTAACCAAGGAAATGGCAGGCTTTGGCCTCGGCGATGACATCACCAAGTTCCTGAGAGAGCATCAAATGCTGCTCATAATAAGGAACAGCCTGTGAGAACTCCCCCCGAGAAGACAAACAGTTGCCCAAGTTGAGGAGGGCGCAAGCTTCGCCTGCTGCATCTTTTAGTTCACGGGCAATGCCTGTATAAAAAGTAACATATTGGTCATTAATTAAAGTATCACTACATAGTATAAAACAAAGTCGCTTCTTGCTTGCTGTCTGTCTGTCCCTATGTGTGCTTAGATCTTTAAAACTACGCAACGGATTTTGATGCGGTTTTTTTAATAGATAGAGTGATTCAAGAGGAAGACTTATATGTACCCTCCTCCTCCAGGTAAATTTCTAAGAAATTAATTAAAATGCTAAGATATCTATTGTTAACTGACACGCCGGCGTGTCGGCGAGGGATTAATACATGCATATTATAGTACAGAATAACGGAGAAGTTTAAAGATTACTTCATACCAATCGTTAAAACTTACCCGTGCGAAGCAAAGGTGAGTCGCTAGTTTTAAATAAAACTATCTTTTCGGATTTATTCGAGGATTTATTTTTGGTTTCTGACTTTTCGAATGGTTTACAACAATTATGGTCAGTCTCGCCCATTTTAGACGTCTCAAAAGTTATTATACAGTAGTTACAGACGGTATCTACCTTCAAAAATATACAGTAATTTGTAAGAAATAGCAAAATGGCACAGAACTACTTTACAATATTTGTTAATTTCAGTTGTTTGTCTGTTTGTCTATTTCTAACGTATACGTTCCTGAACCATTTACCCGATTGCGGTGAACTTTGGTGAGATAATAAGGGCGGATACACCTGATAATGTTTCTGAAATATTAGTCAAAGCGTGCGACATTTGGTCCATGGAGTTCTATGAAATGATTTGAGTTTTATCCGGAATTAAAATTAGGATGATATTTAATTTCTATAAGTAATAAATAAAACTTACCCAAATGAGCTCTATAGTGAAACAGCGCCATATCATGAGCGCCAAGTGCTTGGTACGCGACTGCCAAGTTCCCATGCGTCGAGGCCTCGGAACTCCTGTCATGCACCTCTTTGGATATTGTCAGTTCCTGTTTATGGTACTTTATAGCTTGTTCATAGAAACCCGCAGCGGAATACGCGTTACCGATGTTGCCGTATGCCCGACCCATGCCCGCTTTGTCCTTCAATATAAAAAATAGGATAAATCAAAAATATAGAATAGACCTTCATTCAATAACATATTTTCATCAAATATAGGTGGAAGATATTATTCAAAGGGGTTGTGGAACTTAAAATAAAAAGTATATGATTCACTGTTTTTTTTGCCATGTCTGCCCCTACCCCTTGTGAGGTAGATAAGTCATAAGACAATAAAAATTATAATCTATGTGCTAATCAATCTAACAATAAGCGCCGTTTCGAATTTCATTTAATCCGTTGAACTGCTATGGTGTGAAGAAGTAACCAATTAAATATTAATCTATTCATAAACTATCTAATAAACGCAGACAAAGCCACACAAATCGATTAGTTTCTTACAAAATACCAAACAAATTTTAAAAATGTTTTTTTTTAACATCTGAGAATTTATATTAAAAAATAAAGATCTTACTTGTAGCTGCCTCGCGATGGATAGATGAGCCTGATGTAGTTTTAGCGCAGCGTCATGTTCGCCCAGTAATTGGTACACGATGCCTAGGTTCGAGCAAGCGCGGCCTTCGCCAACCTTTAATATAAGTTAAATTTTTAACATGCTTATTTAACAATTTGCAGTATGGAGGATATTTTAAGAGAGAAGTTTCCCTTTCAGTTAATATTTATAGTAAAAATATATTTTTTAGAAATATTATTTTTTAGAGTTAATTCGCCATTGGCTACTAGTCCGTACTAATATTATAAAAAAGTAAAGTTTGTGAGTGTGTGAGTTTATGAGTTTATGACGTTGTAGGGGATAATCTCTGGATCTACTGAACCGATTTAGATGAAATTTGGTAAGAAGATAGTTTGAGACCCTGGGAAGGAATAGGACTTTTTACCCCGTAAATCATCCCTTAAGGACGTGAAAATGGAGATGAAAGTTTGTATTGGGAAGCAAACTAGCTAGTTTAAAATTTTGTGGATTTGGTTCTCATAACTATGTATATAAATGATACTTTATCAAATTTAATGATCAGATATATTATGTTTTTGGGTATATAACTATTTTTTAATTTTGCAATTAAATCTGTTTACCAACCTTATCCCTAGCCGCTAATGCGACATCCAGCTGCCTTTCATGCCATTTCTTTGCTTGCGCATAATCACCGGCGCATCTACAAAAAGTTAAAATAAGAAAAATAATAATAAGTATACTTTTTAGTCACTTCGTGCTTTTTTCATCTAGGATATTTAACTATATTATAAGTGAATAGTAATTGTTTTTTTTTTCCAAAAACTTACATTAATATTTCATATTATATGTATGTATTAGTATAATGACAAAATACAATTTGACTAACCTTGCTGCATGACCTAAACCTGCATATGCTCTCGCTTCTATCGCTCTATCGCCTAAGTTTTGGGCTATTCTTAATACGTTTTCATGGTAAGTAATGGCTTGTGAAAAGTTTCGTCTGTAGTGATATGATGAACCAAGATTAGAATACGCTCTCGCCTCTTCCACCTGCAAGTATTAAAATGTATATATTTCAGATATTACATTATATACAAAGCCTATGGTGCAATAGTAGCATTTACTATTTTAAAATATGATTTAATAAATATAATCAATAAATATGTTGGGACAGTCATACACAGCACCAGATAGTTGATACACTACACACATATATATAAACTTTAAATACATACATATTATAAATATAAACATCCATGACTGGAGTACAAACATTCGTGCTCATCACACAATGAATGCCCCCAGCCGAACTCGAACCCGCGACCGATGGCACAGCAAGTAGGGTCACTACACACTGAGCCAAACGTGTCGTCAGATTTATGGAAAGTATTATTTTTGTAGCTAGTTCTATATGAAATGTATTTAGTTAAATTTAGTATATAACGTTACCTGATCGCCTAGCCGTCTTGCCAGCCGCAGGTGTTGTGTGTGGCAGTCGACAGCGGAATCAAATTCACCCATAGCTAGATATACAGCGCCAACATTTCCAATTTCACGCGCTTCTTGTAATCGGTCACCCATTTGCTTCACAAGTTGCACACATTGCTTGTGGCTAGCGAGTGCATTGGGATAATCGCCTATGGCTGTGTAAACGTGCCCTAGAGAGGTCAGGGCGGCGGCCGCGGCTTGGGTATCCTGAATGAACAATCGTTTTGTTATATATGTATTATGTATATATCATTAGTCATTACCAATCAAAGTACTTATTATTTGGTATAGTAATAAAATAACTCTATCACATGTGGAATTTATTAAAAATGACTTAATAAATGATCCAAAGTCAAGACGATAAAAAAAACTAAAACAAATAAAAGACGATTAGAATGCATCGCATCCTTTTCAACGAGGAAATAAAGGACAAAGGAAAAAAGAACATTCGACGACAGACCGCCAATAGGGCCTTTGTTTCGACCAAATGAGGTAGTGATGTGAAAGAAATTTGTAAAAATAAAAATAAATGTCTGTTCACCTCAATGACTACAATAATAATAATAATATTTAGATAAATATGTTTACAATATACATATATGTTAGTATTCTTCATTACGGATAATAGAGTAGTGACAGATGACTAAACATATATTATATAATATTTACAATATTTCATCAAATGTTCTGCTTTATTATTAAAAGGCAGTACTAAAAGACTTAAGCTCTTAGATTAATAAATACAGTTCAAATTATTTCATATAGAGTCTTAATTACCCATGGATTGGAGTCGATAACATCGATATCGACACTAAATACCGCTTCGACGCCCTAGCAAGTTGCCCGCCTGCAACAATCTAGCTAATTAAGTACGTGCAACATGATACGATAACGCAGTGATTTACATATTGACTCGATCTCCTTTGAATGTATTTCAAGTATAATAGTTTCGAGTCGTGTTGCTCTTAAATGTCTGTCAGATCACAGCATTCCTTTGAACACATAGTCGGTTGTTCGCAGTGTCTTGTGCCGAGAAGCTTTTGTAACAATACTAGAATGAGTTGTGCGTGTATCAAGCTTTATTATATTCCCTTTTGTGTGCGTTGTTCTGTTGGAGTTACTTGTAGACTTGCAGTATCGTGTCCGCTATACAGAAGGCGGGCTTCTTGAATTCCCACATATTCGATTATTTTTATACGTTATCAATCCCGTTTTACTGGAATGTACATCTTGCTGAGAATCCAGATCTGTTTTAAATTCTACAAAATTATGTGAAAATGGCTTACGAATAGAATATATGTGTTTTTATAAATATTTTATCTCTAACGTATATGTAGTATACCTATTACAAAAAAAAACACATAATATATATTACGATAGTTTGTTAGTAGTTCTTCACGATGAAACCGCTCAACGGTTTTAAATGAAATTCAGAATAGATATAACTCATATTCTGATTTATAGTGACGCGAGCGGAGTTTCGGGCTAAAACTCTCATAAATATTATAAATGCGAAAGTTTGGATGGATGTTTGTTACTCAAACACGGATGGAGGAACTGGATAAAATTTGGCATAGAGATTGATTATTGTCTGGAATAGCACATAGGTTACTTTTTATCCCCGAAAAGTGTACGGTTCTTCTTTCGATAAATAGATTAGTTTTTGTTTTTCACTTTTGAGTTGCTAGTAATAAATAAAATATAAAGAAATTATGGATAAACTATTATTTTTTAATATGTAAAAACGAATAAATTTTATAGACATACAATAGATGCGACTCAGAATAAAATTCCAACTGATTCGCATCTACACATTAAATATTTTTTTGAAAATCTTATAGTCATTATTATCGATATCAGAGGCCAAATCTATAGTTTTTAGAATTTTTTTTGTCTGTCTATCTGTCTGGGAAAACGCATCACGAGAAAACCACTGGGCAGATTTTAATGAAATTTGGTATGATGATTCGGGTAGGACTTTTTACTGCGGGAAAATATCTCATATCTCAGAAATCTATACTAACCGTGAAAACGTATTTAGGGACAAACCCGAGTGGAGCGAGGGCGAATCGCTAGTAAAAATTAAATTCTTTTTAAATTACAAGGCTTAAGTTCAAAAATTTAATTTTTCTAAGCATCGACGATTGATAATTTTCGCTTTCAGATCCAACAGGTTTTCCTCAAGTAGAAATGAATAAATGAATATTCATTTTATTGACCGCAGGACTTATTTAATTGAGTACGTTTCTTAGTATTTATTGCTGCCAAATTTTTTACAAAATTTTAGTAATGATTCTGACCTGATTCTTTTGGTGTTTTGTATTTTAGAGTAATACACCATAATTCACTCATGCAAAAATAGTTTGAATCTTCCTTAAAATCTAAATAATTATTGAATAACAGTTTTTCAGGTTTTAACTATATTACACAGTAGTTTTTAGAAATATTTATTTATTATTCATATGTATCTGTTGCCATTCATGTTAAAGTTCCATCCTACCTTCTACCTAGAAGTGCGGAACTCAAATAAGGGTTTGAAATAATATGTAGGTTTTGTATTTCGAACATTTTTTTTGATGTTTTGTTCACTGTATTTACTAAACGACTGTGGTGTACAATAAAGTATAAATAAAATAAAATAGCAAAGACAATGGAGTACTTACTCTACTTAACAAAACAGCATATAAAATTACAGCTAATGTATCGAATTTGTTGTAAAAATCGCAGACAGTAAAAAAGGCAGACACGAACAAGAAAGGAGATTCTGATTAGCATGATATCAAGACCGCAATCTCGCTAGATCTCTGAACTAACCGCACAAATTAACGCCAGCGTGTAAGCGTACGCATTACAGAATCCCTTAAGATTAAATCCCTTTAATCTTTGACGGGCGATTCAACGCCAGCACCTGCTTTCTGCCTAGCCGGGTTATTCTAGGCATTTCTTAATGAAGCGCGTTCGCCCCGCCTCACATGTTACTGTCAAATTATTCGCGGTTGAATGCTCGCTAGGGTTCGTGATAGGATGTATGAAAGTGATATTTAATAGCTCTTATAAGGAGTTGTAATGTATTAAGGTATTGCGTGGTGTAAAAGCTAATACCATGTAGATACACATATTCTAAGGTAAGGCTTAGTCCGTACTTGTTAATATTCAGTTTCAGTACTTCAAAAATTAGAATAGCAAATTAGAAAAGGTTAGAATTGCTAGCGGAAGAAAATACTAAAATATATAATTACAGTACCAAATGAAGCAGCTAATAGAGTAAAGCTAGTAGAGTAGTAATAAAAAGAAACAGTTAACGACAACTTTAATGAAAAGTACAGCCATTTTTTAAATTTTAATAGCTTTCGTTACACTATTCGAACGCTAATAAAATGGTTGAGCAAGTCTGTACATTAGTTACGGTAAAAAATCTCATATTGCTGATAAATTCCGCTTTTGCTGTAATTTCGCGGTTATTTTGAGTCAACAGTAAGTTTTTGTTAGCGACTATTGGCGCGGAACACGTAAAATAAATATGTTTATTTTGTTTTATTTGTTTTTCATATAGTTCCCTAAGAGAATTTTGTGCTTGCATTGTTAGCTTTAATCCGCAATTTAAAAAAAGTAGCTTCTCAACAAATTGCTTATTTGTGCCCTTTTGTATCGATGCTGATTACAATTTAATAATAAAAATATATCTTATATTTTATTCATATATTGCCTTTGTACATTTACAAGTTGCTGTTTAATTTCTTTAGATAGACTTATCATTTGATAGACACAAATCCAGTAGGACCAGTTACTGATGCTTGCTTACCGTTTTCATTTAGCATCCTTGTATCAAGTGTCCGTATAAAACGTTAATTCGTATGTAGGTAAGCCCACATAAAAAGAAATAGTAATCCATAAACGTCATTACATCGCAGCAATAAGAGTAGTGCGCAATGTTAGCGCGTTTACTGCAAATTAAAATTACTGTCCGCCGGCGTTTCAAAGCGTTCTATGAGAAGAGGATTTTGCTATTTGTAGTTGAAGCTCTCCCATGCAACAGTACACGTCTAAGTTGGTGGAAGGTAGTCGTTGATATAGTATGAATAAGTGACTAAGTCGTTGCTCCACGATATTTTCAATGGATGGCTTGCATTGGCTTTGTGAGGATAACTATGAAAGCCTGTACTTGTAAGACAACCTCACGTGTTAGGAGAAAGTGATTTTATATTTATAGATGAATCGTTTACAAGCATAATTATAATTCCAAGGCGTAAGCCTTTTTTAACGGCCGAGTTTTGTTTTTAAAACTTCTTTATAAGTAAAACATAAATTATTTATGATTCTTATCTATTTTTAGTGGTCATAGAGTTTTATTTTCTAAAGTATTTCCGCTATGATTACGATTTTAGACGAAAAAAATCTTTGTAGATTGAATTTATTAAACATACCTATTAGATAAACCGGAATATAAGAAATTCTTAGAAAAAAGCTTTTAACACATTGCTCCATCAATAAAAATTTGAGTTAATTATTTAAGGCTTATTAACGATTTCTAGGATGAAGAACATGAACATGAGATAACTATAGTTGTATTAGTAATAATAAAGGCTTTCAGTCGCGATATATTTACGAGCCTTTGAAAAAAAAACGAGACTCGGTCCGGTCTCGAAATTCCTGGGAAAAATATTTAGACGTACAAGATATTTCAATAAAGTATTTCATTTATCATACTGTTACAACCCAAAAACAAATAAAATTAACAATTATTTATGAGATTTTTATTCAATTTTACAGTGGGCAACTAAAAACGAAACGAAACGACCAGAATCCGATTTTATTACAAAAGTAATAACCTAGGTTAAAAAAAGCCCTTTCACCTTCTACGCTAGAAGTGGGATAGATATGAGATAGTTATAAGAATAGTTTAAGTATTTGCCTTAGTCGTCTCATACTAAATTTCACTTTACAGTGGTGCCACGTAGCTGGATTAAAAATATACTGGTGGTTTAGTAAAGTTTTGAATAATTACTTAAGTCTTAAAAATCTCGTTATTCCTGAGACTTGAGGTAGAAGTCTCGAGTCTCGAAAATATGAAAAAAATCGTCAAGATTCTCGAAATTTTGGAAACCGCAACTCCCGGATGAAAGCCCTAGTAAAATATAAAGCATTTTCTCTTTTATTTTAAAAATAATGTTAAAAAATAGTCGAACCTGTACTTTTTGTATTATAATATAATATATTCGACATATAATAATATAAATATATTGGGACATTAACAATCAGCACCATCTAGTTCCATGATAAGTCTACGAGTCTTGTGTTATGGATACCAGATAGTTGATACACTACACATATATAACTTTTAATACATACATATTATAAATATATACATCCATGACTGGAGTACTAACATTCGTGCTCATCACACAAATGAATGCCCTCAGCGGGACTTGAACCCGAGACCGCTGGCACGGCAAGTAGGGTCACTACAAACTGAACCAAACATGTCGTCGAAATAGAAAGATGATATCATAAACATATAATATATTACTTATTAGAAAACACATTTCTAAATCTATTACTGAATTCAATATGAGCGATCATTTGCTGTCTTTATAGTGCAAATCCTGGGTTTATATTTGTTCAAGGCATGAGAGAGTTGCAAAAAATAATAATTTATGCATATCAAATTCATATTATTTAACATAAAATAACCATTAGCTATATTTGTTCATATTTCGATAATTAATTTAAAATAATAAAATAGTATTTATATAAAGTATTTTTAGGAATTTAAATAATTTATTTCGTAACGCAAAGTAAAGGTTCAGTGTGCATTAACTTAGCTTTTACGATCGAACTTAGCTTTTACGATCGCGACCGGTTTTCACGAGTAATATTCTATGAAGGTATTTTTAATCGTATTTTATCGCTAATTGTAAACCCAATTAGTTTTATTATCCGTTTCTAGGTTTTTAATCAAGATAAAATTTTAAGTTACTCATTATGTAGTTTAACTTTGCCTTTTACTATTAAAATTATATGATGGAACGTAAAATTAGATTTTAACTGTTGTCATTTTGTTTTTTTATACATATATTAAATTAACAATTTCTGCGAAATTACCTTACGTCTTTACAAAAGAAACCACAGTTCGTAATTAGGTACGTAAACTTAATAAAGAATAACCACAGTCGGGATCCCGGTCGGCTGTACGAATACCATGTAAATGCAATATTTTATAAAGATACTTTATATAGGTAAGTTTTAAATTAAAATGGATATAGTATATTATCCTTAAGAGATAGACATATGCCATCGCGGACTTTTCTGTAGGCCTATATAAGATACACAATTCCACCATACATTATTTTGTTAAATCTCAAAGGGTTTATTTAGGCAGTGCTTTCGGTGAAAGCTCTCAGACGGCTTATTTTTTTCCAACACCTCCAACAAATATCGTTATATTTTAGCCAATGTATACAAAAACTTAACAAATTTTATACTAAAACCTTCCTCTTTAAGCACTCTATCTATTAAAAAAAACCGCATTAAAATCATATCAAAATTTTAAAGATCCAAGCATAAGTAGGGACAGACAGACAGCGGGAAGCGACTTTGTTTTATACTATGTAGTGATGAAGGTATTCGTGTGTTTTACAACTTTATGTTATTGTGGCTTAAAGCTCGTATTAAGTTCGAACCTTCAGTTTAATTCATTGCTTAGATTGAAACTGTTCAAGCAGTTAAAATAATGTAAAATATATAAGGATTTTATTCATAAAATTATGTAAACATAGGTAAATAAATAAATATTATAAATGCGAAATTGTGTTTGGATTTTGATTTGGAACGGAATATATAGAGATAAAGATATTTATTTTATAAGTTTTGATAACAAGTGATATCTGGTAATATTAAGTCATTCTCATTGAATAATAATTAATACTCTGTGGTACAAACTCTATACAAGGTACGCTGGCACTAGTTAAACTGAGGAAAACGAATTCTGTTTATTTGCCTTGATAATTATTTTTTATGACAGTTACTTATAAGTTACAACGGACAATCTATTTTATATTAATACTAGAATTGCCCGCGGCTCCAGATACGGCGGCGTTCAGATGACCAAAAACCAAATTCTTAGGTTTTACATATTAGTATACTCTTACATTGCAGTTTTTATATTTTTTCTCAGAAATAAGTCATTTTCCCGCAGTACAAAGTATCCTATATGTTGACCCGGATAACCACCAGCTATCACTATGCCAAGTTTCATCAAAATCCCTCCAGTGGTTTTTCTGTGATGCGGTAACGGACAGACAGACAAAAGTTCTAAAAACTATAGATTCGGCCTCTTTATCAATAATAATGTCTATTTCAATAAGATTTTCCAAAAAATATTTAATATTCGGCTTAGTTACAATTTTATTATATGTATAGATTAGTTGGCTAGTTTTATGAGAATTATGGTGTGGCATGTAACTCTAATGTGTATGTCTATTCCCAATAATAAATATTTCTTCACGATATTGAATATTATGCCATTATGTAAGATGAAATAAAAAATTAAATAAAAATATTATATTATTAAATACATAAAACGATTTCTCTCGATCTTCGGCTATTGTAGTAAGCGAGCTATATAAAATAAATTTACATTGGCTTGTAATAACATAGTGCTTTAGACTTTAAAACGTTTGTTATGTTGATCGTAAGAAGAGTAATATGATCGGTTTACTGCCTACGTTATGTGTGTTAGTAATGTACAATTATTATAAAAATTAACATTCGCCATTTTTATTTCCTGCTTTCGCAAAAATGCCCTAAGCATTTAGAATATCTGTTCTTAGTTTAATTTTTTACATTTCAAATCATTTTATAATGAGGGAAAAAACTGAGTGGGGGAGATCTACAAGATGATCGATGATATCTATACTCATATAGTAACTAATATATACTGAAAATTATATTTTTTATTATTATAGATTCTTTTATAGATTTTTTGCTTAGTAAATAAAAATATATCAATTGATGTTACGTTATGATGTGTGATAATAAGCGGTACTAATTCGTATTCGTTATTGCTATTCAAGCTCTGACTTAATCTTGCAGTAAAGATTCTCATAAGTCACTTATTAGTGATTTAGAGAATTAGCTTCGGGCAAGCTGTATATTATGATTCTATATTGAGATAAAATACACACATTTGTACTACAAAGACGCCTCGTTTATGTATTGGTACAGTGTTTGTTTTTACCGCATTTTTTATTTAGGTATGTAATTGTGTTTCAACAAATCAATATTAAAAACAATATCGCTTGCATAAAATAATAGAGGCATTTGATATAATTAGTTATAACTAAGTTATAGTATATTGAATATTATATGGAAAACTAAACACAGCTTTATAATCAATCGAATCGTCGTTTCAAGTCTAACCTGATGGTGGGATCTGAGGTCTGACCATTCAAGAGAACGACTATCTGAATTTGAATTGAATAGCTTGGCCTTGGATTGAAAAACACCTGCATATTTGATACGAATCAAGATGCATTGGCCTGCCAACGTACATATATATTATATATACCTATTTCGATTACATTCATTCAAGTAATACGGCAAATTGCCAATAGCTAGCAAGTAACAAAATATATGTTGTGATTGTTTGTATATTTCAATAATATAACTTCGTGTTCTTTTATAAAAATCTGATTCTTAAAAATATAACTTCTATAAAAGATTCAAATTCTGTTCGATTAAAATAGATTGTACCTAATAAGCTATTGACTATATAATTTATTGTGTTCCCAAACATCCTTGAAATAACATCTTTGTATTAAATGTTTCAGCCCTCGTAACAGGTTCAATGTTTGTTTTCTGCACTTACCTTACATTTCATGGCCAAGACTAGTTGGTATCTGTGTGCAGTAAGAGCGTCCTTGTAGCTCCCTTGGCTGAAGTATGCGGCACCCAAGTTGCCATGGGCTCGGCATTCCCCCGCCGTGTCTCCCAGTGACTTGGCGACGGCAAGATCCTGTTGCATATAGTTGATGGCCGCGTCTAGTTGACTGAGTGCCCAGTGAGCCGAGGATAAAGCACTGAATACTGAACCCCTGTTGAAATTTGTATTTAAATAAATCATATCTTTACTATTAAATCAAAAAAGATGAAACACAATATTTAAGAATTGCTCTAACAAATTATTATTTATCTTAATACCTCCACGACCGCGGACATGCCGGCGTGTCAGTTAACAATAGATTTCTTAGAATTTTAATTAATTTCTTAGAAATTTACTCGGAGGTGTTAATTACTTCGAAAATGTTGATATCGCAAACATATGTTTCGAATGTCTTCATCTGTACATTATAAAAAAGTTTTTACGTATAATATTGTAATTGATTATGTTCAGATACAAGTCATTTGTTATAAAGTAACTGTATAAGTAATGATGTACGTTCATTACTTTATATAATTACTCGATACTGATGACTCTATTACATACAAGGGAAAATTTAAAATTAATCGACACGTAATGTATGTAAATTACAGTCTACCAATTAAATTGCACAAACGTCGTCAATATTTGTATGTTTTACGAAAATCGACTGTTGCCGCAATGCACTTTGAAACGTGGAGTAATTGTATAACCTATAGGTAAATTATTTATAAATAATTTATTTGCAGCACATATTTTCTCGTGTGGCAACAAAATAATAGGCGCATACCAACAAAATGGTTATTTGTATTTTAAACGTAAGTATACGGTGGAATTATGAAAACAAAATTATTACACGCCTCCCAGTTAAAGTGGATAGTAAAAATATTTATGTATTACACGTAAATAACGTGTTATGAATAGAAAAATAGTTAACGAGGATAGAAATTATCCTGGTAATAATGAGTTTACAATATATTTAACGGTAATGTTAAAGTTAACGGCAGACAATACCCTCTACAACAGCATACTGGGAACAAATCGAGTGTACGTGTGAAGAGGGTTTTATTAAAGGTTATTTGACAAGTACTAATCGTGTTTGTCGTAGTAGTGGTCTTACTATTAAGCCAACTCCCGGAATTGATGCTTAATGATACTAGCCCCAGGTAGATTAATGGAATTTGTTTGCCTACTGACAGTTACTTGGAAGAAATGAAGTAAGATTTACGATATGGGCAGGTGAATGCAAATAGTATTAATCTTACTGTACAGTTTAGATAAGGAACGCGAAATTATAGCGAACTTTTGTAAGGCGTAATACGTTATTACGTTTTCATAGTAAACGCATTGAATAACAAATAATGCGAAGTATTTGTAACGGTGATATGTTTATTTATTTATTTATTTATTTATTAGATTCACCAGTGGTTAGTTACAATAATACAATTTATTTTATACGAGTACAATTTTTTAAGTTTTTATAGCTAATTGCACTACCTTTTAAGGTGAATACCACATGCAGTTACAGTACTAAAATTACTATTATAAAATATTAAATTAAATAAATAATAAAATACACTAACACAATTAAATAACACACAAAAATGGAAAAAGATTACAATTCGAATTAAAAAAAAAACCAGGAAGAATCACAAAATAAATTATACTATTATTAAATTATGTTTTAATTGAATTTGTTTTTATTTTGTAAATATATAAAATATTACAATTTCTAATAAAGTTTTCCCGACTACGATACAAATTTGGAATTATTCCATTTCTTTTATTTTTGAACGATACATCATATATTCGAAAAAGTTTTTTTTAGATAATTTTTTAATTTGCTTACGAAATCCATTTTTAGCAAATAGATTATTATAGAATCCCCTAAAAATGTATATTATCTGTCGTTGAATATAACGCCCTATAGCATTCATCAAATAATAACATGTTTAATTATCGTCATAATCTTTGATATTTATTCTAACACAACTATTTAACATATTCCAGGCAATGAATCACTTGGCGGTGTAATTTGACGTCCTGTGACGCCTTTTAACAAGATTGATAGCATGTGTAGTGAAAGGATATTTTTATTACTTTAGATGCACATGATAAAGGATTATTACGTCAAAAGTTAAATGACTAATTATACCAGTGAATAATAAGTAATAAAATTATCACAAGCACAACCATTTTTACTTTTATTTAAAAAAAAAATGTAGATAAATAATAAATATTATTGGATTGAACAAAAATATAATTTTTCATATAATCATTTTTTAAATTAGAAATAATTGTGCTTTTAATAAAAAATAAACAATATTAAAGTTCCACATAATGTCCTAATACAGGTGCAACTTTACCATCACATACCCTTTGTCGCGCATCATCAGTCAACAATTATCTCATATCGATAAAAATCAAAAATAAATGTCCCTATTTATCCACTTAACTCGCACCTACATTGAATGCCGTATCGATTCTGATGCGATCCATCAATAAGATAAGATCGAGGTGTGGGTTTCGACGCCAGGCTTGATTATGTCGCTGGTAGTCTTATAACTTTGACCGTAAATGGGTAATATATGTTTAATATCTTTAAGCACTCTTCCCATATTTGGAACTTGTTAGCTTTTTGTAAACTATTATATTAAGAGATTTAGTATTTTATTAGTTATTTGTATATTAAATAGATATATAAACAATTAGGCAGTCTATATGTCTTAAAGTAAATACTTTACTCAATTCAATGTGTTACAAAAATAAGAAACAAATAAATAGACCTATTAAGTCTTAATTTCCTTTTGTAACATTATAAAGCTTTATTTGTCGGTGAATGAAATAAATCAAAACGTCGAAATTCCACCAAAGATACCGTCCTTAAACACATAAATTACGCCACTGTCAAGAATAACATGGCTCATGATTAACAAACTAAATTTTCACAAAATAAGAGGTTTATTACTTCAACTTATTTCTTATAGTCATGATAATGTTTTAAAAAACTTAAAAGCTATTGGTACATCTTGTAACTAAAAATTTAAGTTAGACATAATGAGCAAAATTGTTTAGTAAACAGATAATTTTGATATAGAAGTTGATTTCACTTAATGAGATATGAATTAGTTAATATAATAAATATACCAACGTTATTTTAAATCTAGTCATGTTGGCGTTTTATTTAAACGATTGCTTTTATACTTATTAATTTTATCTTGTATTACTTAAGTTTACATAAAAATGAAACATCCTTTCTTATTAAGTCGGTTAAAAATAATACTATAACATTAATGAACGTGAAGATTTCTCGAAGGGCAATTTGTCTTCTTGCTTCAAGAATTTGAGTGGTGTTAAAGGTGTAATCGTTGCTAAGAGATTAATCTGAAATGGGATATCTCACGAGGCGAAAATATAAATCATGAGCCGTAAAGTACAACAAAAAAACTAAAACCAGATTACCGAACCGTTTTAAATAGCAACTTTTATTCGCGTTGTCGATTGTATCATTTAAACGTAATAAGGGTAAAGGATAATGAGGATTTAGGTGGGAAAAGTCGTACAAGCTTTTTAATTACGTTCGTGATTTACTCTTACGAACGAAAGTACTCTGCGTGTACTTGTATTTGTAAAAATATTCCTTACCGCTTAGAACAATTGGAATTCAACCCAATTCGGAAATAAGACCCAATACTTTACCGCGTTTTAAAAATAACACAAAATAAAAGCATTTAAAATATCGTATTACTGTAACAATATTATTTGAGTAGTAAATTTAATAAAACATACCTTAACTTTAAGGAACAAGATCCAATTCTCAGTGCAGCTTCTAACACTGTGACTGCCGCTTGGTACTGTCCCGCCGCTAACAGCTCTTGTCCGACAACCTGACAAAAGATAAATTATTTACATACATAGTATTTTCCTTGACGAGGAAATAAAGCTATTTGATAAAAATTATATATAGAAGCTTATAAATTGCTGTGATATTTCAGAAGTAATTTAAATCAATTTCTTTACATTTTTATATGAGTGTTTTAATAATAAAAATATTTTTCGTTAAAATTTAAATCGTATCACTATCTCATTTGTTGAACATTTTATATACCCAAGTCCTAAGATGTAAGCCCTAATTTTAAATTAGTAATTTTTCATTTGTGTTTTTATTCCAGCTTCTGGCTTATACCTATCGGCGTAAAACTAATTGTATAGATATTTACAAAACAGCAAGTACAATATATGTGCTCTAAAGTTATTATACAGTAAAAGCAAAGTGCATGAAATGTCTGTCGTATGGTAATATCCTTTCATAAAATCGTCGGAATGACTTTGATCTTCAAACATATATAATTTAGTTCGTTAAACGATTTATAATAATGGTCTAATATACGAAATGCGAATTTGAGTATCATCACCCATATACAGCAAAAAGCGATACGGATTTTTAAAAACCCATCTCCCTCGTCCGTTTGCCACTGTATCACGAGTTTCATAAGGGTACTCATATGAAGGCGAATCTGTTGAAATACATATTTAGAGAACACCCACGGTGTTGTACTTTATGAAATAAATGAATATTGTATCTGATATCGTAATTCTGAATCTATAACTCGGTTTTGCTTTAATATATAATATGGTCGATATCAAGTGTTTCTTTCGTTAATATCAGTATCTCTTTAGGTTTGTAAAAAATACTACTGACAGACAAGAGCAAAAAATAGCGGATCAATAACAAAGGATTGCCGAAATACAAATACCTGAATATAATCGCCATAATAATAGTCTACCTTATTTTGTGCCATCTAACGCCGACATAATGAATACCTACAATGAAATCAAATGTGTTGGGAAATAAAAAAAATAATTTGCAACAAGAAAAAATTGGTTAAAATTTAAGTGTCTCTCAAGGAAGTAATTATTTATCTTTGGAGACGACTTGGTTGGAAGTCACAATTTTTTCTAGAATATAAGTCACTTCTTTAGATGGTAGTTGATATAAAGACCAAACGAAAAGAATTCATATTTTTGATACAGTTTCCGGTGGGGAGAAGGGTCCATTTGGACTATTCATGTGTCTGCCTATCAAATGTCGTCTAGATTGTATGTAAATGTGCGGGGGTCGTGTATTTATGGCGCTTTGATCACTCAGCCCCATTGTTCGGCCGTTAAATGTGCCGAAAAATGTTCAGATGTCGGACAGCCGGTGGAATGTATGCAAATGGTGCTCGTAATGCAAAATTCTTAAAGCCTTCCAGTTACATCGGACTGAATTTCCTTTTCTTTTTGTTTGTTTATATGTTATTAGTGCGGTTATTTAAATAATCCTCGTATGGATTGTTGACTTAACGTCAAGTGATCTTCAATGATATAAAATGATTCACTGTACAATGTAGGCACATTATACACACATACATATATTATGTATTTAGAGTATATTATAAATAAAACGTATGAGTTTCCTCATTCAAATAATTTGGAAACTTAATTAATTTCACAGGTACTCAGTTTTTGTTATTATACTAATTGCAAATGGTCGGAAACGTAAAAAAAAACAGACGTACCTATTCATCGTAATTTTGTTGCGTGATTAAATTAATAAAAAATAAATATAGGGGACTAAAATAATTAGATTTTTTTTAGGTAATTGCTAAATGATTTCTTGAATTCTCAGAATTTTTGTATTTCTTTACTGTTGAATGTTTTCGTCTTCGATAAATTAAAAAAAAAAACGATTATTTTATTTCCGGAGCTACGTTAATGGCGGGCATTATTTGAGGCGGAGTATCAGATGTTAAAACAGGCCGGTGACAGTTTAAATAAGGTTTAAATAAACTTAAATTCGACGGTTCGACAGTAGTCTCACGAGTCGCATTGCTTTATACCACTTCGATGCATACTTACGCTCCATTTTGAAGAAAATAACGATGGTATTTCGGTTGGTTTATTTTGAATAAAGTTTACATCGAAAGGCTATTGATAATGCAGATAAACTTGTCTCATCCTACTTGTATGACGCGGTACTCAATCAACTTATAAAATAAGGCATTTTATATACTGGGACCATAAATGCTGTTTTCTTTTGTGCCATATTAAGATGTATTTAGTTAATTGCTTAATTAATTTCAATTAAGTATTTGTTATAACTTATTGCTTAAAAAGATATAGAAGCTTTTCCATATAAGCACATTTTTCGCTTCGGATACAGTAGTGTTTGAGAAGCAAGGTTGTCCCGAGACGTTCCGTACCATATTTAAAATGTCAATGACATCTTCAAGTATTGTCAAATACTTAATGTATAGAACGACTTTAAAACGTTTACGTTTTTGTGTATAAAAACCCTTTAATGGCCACAAAGTGGTCTTTTGTATTTACGATATTTACTTCAGCAACAAAGTCATAAAGGCTTAAACAATTTATTTTTATAATCTGTTCAGCACCAGTTTTTATAAGATTTTATACATCAGAAATAGTTCCTTGATTTATAATGAAATGTAATGTTGGTTATATTTCCTTACTTCAAGCTATAAATTCTAAATTAACGCACAAGAGTTTCCTTCGTTAAAATTTTAAGGTACAAATTTTATTTGCTTAGTGTGTAGTAAGTTACTTTTAAAAAAGTTCGATTGCTTTTACTCATGAAAATACGCATTCAATTACAAGTTGGAGCTCAAGTGAATGTTATGTTGGTACACACATTTTATTGACATTCTAAAAGGATTGTACCTATTTTTGTAAAATTTTATTGCTTTTACGATTCGGCTACGGCTACCAATTTGGTAGCATAGTTTGATGTAATTCGTATAAATGTTTTTTACAGTACAGACTAGCTGACCCGACAGACGTTGTCCTGTCTACACGTCTTTAATTTGAAAATTCCAAACTTTTTTTAATAATTTTTTTGATGAAAATTATTATTCAAATTGTGAATCTAAACCATTCCCAGATCCCCTTGAACACACACAAAAAATTTCATCAAAATCGGTCCAGTCGTTTGAGAGAAGTTCAGTGACATACACACTCACAGAAGAATTATATATATAAAGATGTAACAATAAAATTACGAGTCCTAATACTAATTACACATGCGATTAAAGATCTGCACAATCTATGTACATATATACATTATACATATAGATAGTCTTTAGATAACATAAAAATAACAGCTTTTTACTAAATGCGTATGAAAGTATATACGAACCTTAAAAGAAAAAATCAATTTTAATATTTTTTTTGTCAGTCTGTCTTATTCCGGCTAATCTCCGAAACGGCTGGACCGATTTTGACTGGACTTTTATTGGCAGATAGGAAATGTTATAGGGAGTACGTTAGGTTACTTATATTTTACAAAAAGGATGAGGGTTCCACGCGAAAACATTAAAATCTATGAAATTGTGAACTAAATCGGACCCAGGGATGCACCCGCGCAAAGCTCGGGTAAGTCGCTAGTATTTGTATAAAGTAGTAATGGTTATTAAGAATTAACTTTATATACTTTGATGTTATTTAACATATGTATAAGTAAGAATAGAGTAAATGTAAAAAAAATCGTTTTTTTCGTCTATTTATCTATCCATTTGCGCCTATATTAAATAAACCGGTTCGTTTAGTTTTTTTTTATATCGTAGAGCACCCAAAAAGTATTAAATTACATTACAATAGACTGAGAAAATATAGTGATATAACTTGTGCTTGCATAACATTAATTTATTAAAGAATCTATTCTGTTCTATTCTTAGTTTTATTAAAATATCAACCGACGTTAATTATTGAACGTTTGATTCTAAGTTAAAACTTAAAAGTATAATGTTTAACGCTGCTTTCAGTCATTTAATTATTCAAATATTTGATCTGATATCGCTGACATCAGGATATCAACCGTGCTTGAACAATTTAATGCTCTCATAAATTTTATGTCTTTCTTTAATTGCTGGGTATACGAATTTAATACGTCCTGTTTCTTTATTTCCCTTTGTAAATAAACATTTAAGGGGTTTAAATAATTCCTAAGTAGTTAAAATGACCATATAGGTATATCTTGATATTTTAAGATGTATTTTAAGATGTATTTTTAGAATATTTGCTTAGATTTACGCCTATATTTGATATTTGAAATAAAAGAATTTATTTTGATTTTTGGTTCCGGACGTTTCAAATGCTTTACAGCCAATCATGGTCACGGGAGAGATTGTCTAATGGAAAAGATACTTTTATAAAAAGTAATATTCAGTTAAATATATGTTAATTTTACTAATATTATAAATGTGAAAGTTCAGCCGTTCTGGCGTGATTGAGTAACAAACATCCAAACACTCGAACATCCGGGTGTTTGGATGTTTGTTACTCAATCACGCCAGAACGGCTGAAGGAATCTGGATGTTTGGCACAGAGATAGATAGATAGTCTGGAGTAGCACATAGGCTACCTTTTATCCCGGAAAAATGTACAGTTCCCGTGGTTTAGATTTGTTTCTATTTTTCTAGAGGCAAAATAGCCGTTAGTTATGTACATATAAAGTAATATGTTGCGATATATTAATAACTAGCATTGCCCGCGGCTCCGCCCGCGTTCAGATGACCAAAAACTAAATTCTTAGGTGTTACATATTAGTATACTCTTACATTGCAGTTTTTGTATTTTTCCTCAGAAATAAGATATTTTCCCGCGGTAAAAAGTATCCTAGGATCGCGCGCTACATCGCCCGGTTTATATAGCTTGAGCAGGCGGTCGAGCGATGCGGGGCAGAGGGGATGGACTCGCCGTAGGCATCTCAATGCTCGCCAAGCATTAAAAATGTTTCGCTACTAATTACTTCTAACAACGATATCTCAAAAACTATTCATCTGATTGATTTAGTGTAAAGAGCAATTTTAATCTGCATTAAATGACTAAGCTAACTAAAATATTCATTTGGATAAGGATTAATACCGAACTAAAGAAAATAACTTTGAAAATAACGTAATGTTTTTAATTAAAAATGTTAACATAAAAGTGGTTATTGTAAGTCAACCGTAAGAGATAGAGATATGCTATCGCGGACTTTTTTGTAGCATTTTTATAGATTTTGAATTCTCTAGTACATTACTTAACTGTATCTTTGCTAGTTTACGCGGCGTTCGCGTGGAAAGTTCCCATTTGGCGAGATTTTTTGCGACCTCTTCAACATTTGTCGCCGTATTTCAGCTAATTTACATAAAAGCATAATAAATTATATACCTAAAACTTCCTCAAGAATTACTCTTTCTATTGTTGAAAACCGTATAAAAATCCGTTCAGTAGTTTTCGAGTTTATCGCGTACAGACAGACAGGAGGACAGACAGGAGGACAGAAAGACGCGGCCGGGGGACTTATTTTTATAATAAGTATAGATTATATAGTAAGTCTACTCGTATTAAATTAGAATTACAACGATTTATCATTACGTGAGGATTCATCAGAGTATATACATTGTTAAACTAATAGTTTGAAAATAAAACATTGATTTATTTTCAAACTATTAGTTTAACAATGTCTCTTTTATGAGAATGATCAAAGTTAAAAGCATAAAGGCGTGTAACAGACAGCTTTATAATGATGAAGTTGTTAAAGGTTAAACTAAGCTTTCAACAAAATATCGACTAAGGTGAAAAGTAACACTATTCTAGACCCATTATGGTTTTGAATAGAAAATGAATGAAATTGCTAATCGTAAAGGAGCATTATAATGTATTAAGTAATATTTTAGCCTCGTATAAATAAAAATATTTAGTACGTATGTACGTATTAATAAAAAAAAATTAGTTGTGTAAAGAGAATTGAAAGCTACTAGAGCTTCTTCTTAAATCTCAAAAAACATAAATTAGAATAAGTGAAAAGACTATTTAATTTAAATATAATAATTAATTCATAAACTCTTTAAAACTCTTTAAAAGCTTCTCCAATTTTGGTGAGATTTTTTTTTATTTATTTATTTTCATTCGGACACAGGTCCATAGTTTAATATATATTATCTAAAAACATTTAAAATTTAATTTATTGATGGAAAAAGATTTGGGCGAGAAATCAAAAAACTAATTTTTATCTTAAAAAATTAGGTTGGGAGAAGAATGGCTTAATCAACTATATGTGACTTTTACTGAAGGGAGAGAAGAGGATTCATGAGGGAATTAAACAGGCTAGTCTTTACGGACGAAACGTGGACAAAACTGTAGACCAGAGATAGTATACAATAATATAAAGTAATCTATACCTACATGTAATAAAATTGTAACTAAGACGAATCTGTACATTACATATTTTTCAGAAAATCTCATTGAAATAAACATTATTATCGATACAGAGGCCAAATCTATAGTTTTTAGAATTTTTGTCTGTCTGCCTGTCTGTCTGTCTGTCTGTCTGTTACCGCATCACAGAAGAACCACTGGAGGGATTTTAATGAAATTTGGTATGGTTATAGCTGGTTATCCGAGTCAACATATAAGATACTTTTTACCGCGAAAAAATATCTCATTTCTAAGAAAAAAATCAAAAACTGCAATGTAAGATTATACTAATATTATGTAAAACCTAAGAATTTGGTTTTTGGTCATCTGAACGCCGGCGGAGCCGCGGGCAATGATAGTAGGACTGTTGATATTTTTTAAAATATCGGATTTTCGATATATCGATATTTTTAAATATATCAATATCGAAGCTTGATATATCGAAAAAAATATCGATAAGTCGATATATCGGTTTTATTTAAAAAAAAATATTGTAAGGCAGGTCAAAAATGATTACACAGTTTATAGTTCAGTATATTTATTAAACAAATTAAATTATAAATGTATAAAAGTGTTAGAATTATTGTTTAATTTAAGTGAAACAATAATGTGTACCAATATTTTTCAGTAAGAGTTTTTAAAAATACTCTTTGTTTTATATTATGTTCAGCTGTTTGACTACTACGATTATTAGGCACTAACAGATTGATTGTAGAAGCAACTAGTACAGATGCTACAGATGTAGCAGAAGAAATTAAATATTTAACAGCTATTTCTGATAGCACGGGAGTAAAATGCCTACTATCGATCCAAAATTTTTGCGCATTTGATAACCTTGAAATATTTAGCTGATCTAAATACTGCTTCAATTCAGCAGGTATCGTACCAAGACTTCTACCAGAAACTTCATTGGCATTGGCCATATTTTTCAAGAGCATATCTTCATGTCTATCCCATAAGGATGAAGTTGTTTCTTTTTCTCCACGTGGAGAAGCGCCTACTGTAGGTGAACGATTTCCTCTTATTTTGTGTTCTGCAATTATTTCTTTTGATAGATCTGATTGCATTAGCAACAGCCAATGCCGACATGAAATGCAATTTTTTGAAGCGAGGATCTAAGATAGTTGCTTTGGCCAAAAAACGGATTTTCTTGTAAAGGCACTAATCTACTTTGAATACCATTTAATAAATCATTTTGTACTGACACTCCAATAGCAGTTGATGGCTTAGTTTGTTCGATTTCTTGTTTTAATAAATTTGTTAATGGTATAACTAAACTAGCTGTGACATATTTCTCGGCACTCCAATCTTCTGTTACTATTTTAAATGGACTAAGTAGCGTGACTAAATTGCGCAAAATAGTTAACTGCGAAGTAGCAACCATGTCCATATGTAAAAAATATCGACCATCGATATCTACATTTCAATATCGAACTATCGATATATCGTCCAAAAAATATTAGTAATAAATATCGATATTTCTAAATGATAATATCGATAGTTCGATATATCGATATTTTATCAACAGCCCTAAATGATAGTATAATATATATATATACATATAATGTATTTTTTTAACCATGATATCTAATAATTTTGCAGTCTTCATTTGTGCAAATGCGAATTCCAAAGTGACTTGAATGCCCGGAAAACAGTTTCCGCAACAGTAGTCCCGTATAAAATAACATTATAACGTTATAACGAAGAATAGCATAGGGATATATAACTATCAAAATGACGATCACCTGACACAGTAATTCAAATAGCTATACAAGGGACTGTAGGTTTGTTAAATGTTAAAGATTTGATATTGGTATTGGTGACCCTGGATTCCGCTTCCGGTGGTCTTACAGTAAACACGTACGTCAAAGTCCTCCGCAAATAAAAAACAATAACAGTGCAAACAGTGTTAATTTGTGGCGTCTCGACGCAAAATCCATTAGGTGTGACGGCAAAAGACAATATTGGAAAATAACCACAGTGCAAACATAAAGCTAGCAGAGAAACTTATAATAAAATCAAACATCACTTATCCTAACAATTTGCAAATCATACAGCAGTGCTACCAATACAACCAACGAATTTGTCAAACGTCAACTAAGGCCATTCTGACACTGACAGTTTCAGTGTGACCAACATCAACAAATAAATTATCACTAAACCAGTATTGCCAGAACAAAAAACAATCCCCCAAAAATGGATAAAAGCATGGAGTTGCTGCTGGTCAAGACTGGATGAAAAACTGAACCAACAAACTAAAATTATAAACGACGACAGTAACGAAAAATGTTATGGAGGCAATAGATGAGAGATTAAAAACAATAACAGAGGAAAATACTAAACTCAAAGCAAAAAATTTCTACATTGGAGCAAAAACTTAACATAATGGAACTGGAAAAAAGGAAATATAACCTGGTCTTTTTTGGAATTGAGGAGTCTGGTAAACTAGAAGCGGAGATGGTAGACTACATAAAGGACATAATAAAAGAAACAGGAACACACATAGATAGTCAGGAAATCAAAAACATATATAGGATCGGCAAAAACAACAATAAAAGTCGCCCTGTCGTAGTCACCTTAACGTCTTTATGGAAAAAACATACCATATTGAAAAACAAGGCTAATCTCCCACCAGGTATTAATGTCAAGGAGGATTACACTAAGGAAGTACTTGAAAAGCGGAAGAAGCTACAACCACAACTAGAAGAGGAAAGGAAGAAAGGAAATATCGCTTATCTTAATATGACAAACTTATAGTGAGAAACCAACTGACAAAAACCAGAGACAAAAGAAAAAGAGAAGATTCAGGCTCACCCAATTCATCAACCCAAAAGAAAATAAACTCGAAGAGTGTCTCAAAAGAAATTATAAGACCTAATATTCTTAACTATGTTGAACGAGGCAGAACAGCCTCACTGTCTGAAATCTCAAAAAACTAGCAACGACCACCGGCACCCGGAACAAAATCAAGACAAATACTACAACATTGTTAAAAATAACTTCCAAAAAAAGCACCCCAAGCCGGCTGGTCACCGTGGGGCAAGACGACCACTACCCTCCATTAAATAAAAACAACCATAATATTATAAATATAAACAATAAAAACAACCCTAGTTATGAAACAAAAGAAAGAGTATAAAGTCAAGAAAAGAACAAGGCCTTAAAATATGCACACTTAATGTGAGATCCCTATCAACGAAAGAAAGAACTTTAGAACTAAATAATGCAATAAATAAAATAAAATGGGATATTATAGGACTCGCTGAAGTTAAAAAGATAGGATATACCATCGAAGACATAAAGACTACATATTTTGCTATATAGAGAGACACAAGGACTTCATGGTGTAGGCTTCATAATAAAGAAATCTCTAAAGGGCAACATTTTAAGCTTCTTGGGAATATCGGAGAGAGTGGCTCTGCTAAAACTGAACTTTAAGGAAGGTCCACTATCACTGATTCAAGTATATTCTCCCACTGAGAGTTCAAGTGAAGAAGAAATCACAAAATTTCTACAATGCCTTAACGAGAGCGCAAGAAAAGGCTGATAAAAAACAGGTTAATCATCGGAGACTTCAACGCTAAAATTGGACAACCTAAACCTCATGAAAAACCTTATAATGGGCAAATATGGTTACGGCATAAGGAATGCCAGAGGTGAACGCCTAATACAATATGCACAAGAGAATAAACTGGCTGTAATGAACACATATTTCAAGAAGAAAAGTTCCAAAAAAATGGACATGGATATCACCAGATCATAAAACAAAAAATGAAATAGACTTTATTCTGAGCCCTTACCCAAAATCTGTAATAAATGTAGAAGTTTTGAACAAAATAAGCTTTCCATCTGATCACAGGATTTAAGATGCTCTATAAAAAATTCAACAACAACCAAAAATTAGCCGAGGAACATTCAAAAACCATGCCCAACAAATTGAATTCCACACATGAGAAAAACAACTACGTACAAAACCTAAAAAAGAACTTACCAATATTGCAAGAATTTTTAAAGGAAAATAAGAATGTACAATCCTTTAGTGACAAACTGGAAGAAGCTATCACAAAAAGTCTTAGAATGGATGAAAAAGCAAAAAACAAAACAAAGACAAGATCATTAGCAAACACACACATAATTTAATCTGTAAAAAGAACTAAACTTATGTTCACGAAGAACAAGACCAAAGAAATGAGAGAGAAACTGAAGAAATTGTTCAAACAAACCAACAAATCTATCAGAAGAGATTATGCTAATCATAGAAGAGAAATTATAGAAAAAAATATGTTTTCTTTCCGTAGCTCAAAAAGAGCCTATAAAGAACTATCTACTCACAAAAATTGGATACAAAGTCTGAAAGTGACAAGGGGAAAGCAAAGATAGAAATGGTATAATAGAATGTGCAACGGCTTTCTACACTTCTCTCTATGAAAAACCACCACATGATATAACACAAGAAGATGAAAAAGATAATAGGGATATAACAGAAGATATAGCAGAAAAACCATTAGACCCAATAACAGAAAGAGAAATAATGACCCAAACAAAAGATTAAAACCCGAGAAAAGCCCAGGCGAAGATAACATCACAAACGAAGCCCTGAAAATCGGTGCGCCAATCCTGGCTACATACCTAGCAGAACTCTTCAATTTAGTACTGGTAAAAGAGCAAGTACCATCTCAATGGAGTAAATCAAACATAATACTATTGTATAAAAAGGGAACCCGCTCGACATCAGCAACTACAGGCCTATCAGCTTACTATCAACAATATATAAACTCTTTTCATCAATCATCCTAAGAAGAATAGCACCAGATATTGACAAAAATCAGCCAATAGAACAAGCGGGCTTCCGGCCGCATTACTCAACAATAGACCACATTCACACAATAGAACAAATAATAGAAAAATTTAAAGAATTCAATAAACCACTCTACATAGCTTTTGTGGACTATTCCAAAGCTTTCGATAGCATAGTACATTCATCTATATGGACTGCTCTAAGAAAGAATGATATAAACAGAACATATATAAATATCATAAAAAACATCTATTCTAAAAGTGTAAGTAGAGTAAAATTGGAAAGACAAGGGGAGGAGTTCAGAATTGTAGAGGGGTGCGGCAGGGAGACCCGCTGTCTCCAAAGCTATTCATAGCTGTACTTGAGGACATTTTCAAAAACATCAATTGGGGAAAATAAAGGCCTATGGATATTTAATAATAAATTAACACACCTAAGGTTTGCAGATGACATTGTTCTTTTTAGTGAATCCGCGACAGATTTAGAAGCAATGCTACAAAGATTAAACTCTGAAAGCAAAGAAATCGGCCTACACATGAACGCATCCAAAACAAAAAATTATGTCAAACAGTCAAAAGAAAACAATCAAAGTAGAGGATAAACCGATAGAATATACAAATGAATATGTGTACCTAGGTAAATTGGTGTCCTTTGATGCAAATAGCAATGAAAACGAAATAGACAGGCGAATAAGTACAACTTGGAAGAAATACTGGGCCCAAAGAGAAATTTTAAAAGGGAACTATAGCCTTAATATAAAAAAAGACAATAATGGATTCTTGCATTCTCCCAAGCTTACGTACGCTAGTCAGACATGGGTCTTTACTAAAAAAGTAAAAAACAAAATTTCATCTTGTCAACATGCAATGGAACGAAGTATACTGAAACTAAGAAAAATACAAAAAACAAAAAACGCAGACATCCGCATGAAAACTAAATTAACAGATGCTCTATATTTTAGTTTGAAACAGAAGTGGAACTGGGCAGGGCACTTGTCAAGATACAAAGATAAGAGATGGACCTACCAAACAACTAAATGGCAGGGCCCAAAAGGCAAAAGAAAAGTGGGAAGACAGAAGAAAAGATGGGCCGATGACATAATAAACACAGCAGGAAAAAACTGGATGCATGAGGCCAAAGACAGGGAAAGATGGAAAAGAATGGGGGAGGCTTTTACCCACCAAGGGGCCACATAACAAAAGAAATGGAAAAAGAAATAATTTATAAAGGATGGATATTAGAAATTGTTATGGGGAAAATAAAGCTATAATAATAATAATTGGTGACCCTTTCACCTTAATTATAAGTAGGAATTAACATCATTCCCATCCCAGGATAAGATACTCCCGCCAAGCGTGATAGAATTACTGGACGCTACAAAGACGATTTGATGTTGATACAATGCATTGTGTATCTGTTACCGACATAATGGTTACAACGATAGGTTATCGAATTAAACAAGTCGATTAAGATTTTTTATAATATTTAGGAACCTACAATGGTCGAAGATACAGCGTGAAGAATATATATTATATTTACATAAAACGTAAAAAATAACTTACCGAAATTAATACAAATGGTGATTGATCAAGTTTCATTGCTTCCAACTGCCTGAAAGTTGGGTCCAGAGTGGTTCGTAGTGGGGACTTGAGTGAGGCTTCCACCAGCGCAGCCAGCAGTTGCCGTGAAGACGGCTCCACGCCCAGCCCTGAGCTGAATGCTGCCAGGGCTTCGCCATGTCGACCGAGACATTGAAGAGCGACACCTATAGCGTACAATTTTTTTTGAAATATTTTTTTTATCTGAGAACCTTATTTTGTATAATAAATGTGACGAAACTATTCTAAGAACAAAACTCTTTCAAAAAATTTAACACCACTCGAAAAATCATGTCATGATGATTCGACTCGATTAGAATTTTATTAGGTATATGTATAGATAGAATAATATTATTTAAATGTATTATTGAAAATTTAATTTTGAATAGTTTGTTACAAATTGATAGGTCAATCAATAGTTCTCAATCCTTATCTAGTCGACACACATCAAGAACGGCAGTAACAATTGCATGAAACCATAACGCGACCTAGAGTACCTACTCTGCACCGGAAGATTGATAAGTGATCATTACCACTTTCTGAGCTGCTCTAGTTTATAGCGAAACACGCCATGTTCTCTGTAATTATTTGCGGAAATCAAGCAAAGTGTAATATACCGTTATATATTTTAAAGTACTATCTAAATATTAAAAGCTATTATGACCTAAAAACGAAATTTCAATATTGAAATATTGAAAAAAAACAGCACTTTTTTATATTATCTGTTTTATTTTGCTAATCGTAATAAAGGAAGTACTCGGTCAATAATATAGGTGATATTAATGCGGAAACAAAAATACATAACGAATTCTAACTTTCATTTACATGCCAAAAGTGAAACGAGACTGTAAATGATAATACATACACAGAAATGAAAGAAAGTAGTCGCACGCAATATGCATTATGTGATCATATTATGTTTTCACGATATCTCAACGCAGCGTAACCGCGCGCAACAATACACAATTTTATTCAACAAGCATTATTAATTTAATGGACGTACGAGTATACGATGGTTTCTTTTTACGCCGAATATAAACATTATAAGTTTTCGGTTTACTTGTATGTTTATATACAATTAATATCACTGGTTAGTGGTTATATGCCTGATAGAATGTTGTAACTGCCGAAATATTCCACTTTTGAAAGTCAATGTACCTACTGTTATTAAAAGTTTTTTTATTAGGTATAAGTTTATTGTATTTATATAAGAAATTAACTTTTTTAATCGATTTCAAAAAAGGGGGATTATGCCACTTTTTAAAGTAATATAATGTGACCTGTATGTAGATATGTTATATTGTTAGGAAAAAATAATGGAAAATTATTGTTATATGTTAGTGTACATGACTTAGTAAATGCAAAATTTTACAAGTGTATAAATATTTATCCTAGCATAAGAAATAACTGAACCCTATCAATATTTTTTATTAGATAAGAGATCTTTCAAGAAGGAATTGAAAAAAGATTAATCTAAATTGGATCATTAGTTGTAAAGGAACAGACTATTAAGTATTTTCTTCACATAGGCGTAGTCGACTTATGAGGCTTTTAATATATGTATACCTAATGTATAGTGTTGTAAGTAGTTGACCGATTGAAGAAAACTTTTGAAGTCGGTTTAAATTTTTTTAATTAGACTCCACAAGAATGTATAATGTAAAAGATTAAGATTTTTTTATCTTATATATTATATAACATTTTTGCTCTACCTTGTCTATAATAAGCTTTTGGCCAATTAGGGCAAAGTTCTCGCGCCCGTGTCGCATCTTGTAGAGCGGCTGCAAATTGGCCTTGCTTCAATCTTGCTGCTGATCTGTGGGGGGACATTTATTATTAATTTAGGTATAAATTTATATCTTTAATTTTTAAAATAATTAGAAAAATTTACTTTTTCAATGTGATATAGTAACAGATAAAATCATTTAATAAAGAGGAGTGCCAAATTCATATAGATATTTTTTGGGTGTTAGGGAATGTTTTTGTTATTTAAGAATATTTAAATATTTAATCTTAATTATAAATAAATAAATTTTATTTATAAAAAAAAGATGAAAGGAAAACCAAAGAAAGTGAATTTTACCTATTGCTATATAATATATGGTTGGCAGGATCCAAGGTCAAAGCGTCAGTGTACAGTGCGACTGCCGTGGAAAAGTCTCCCGCTTGACAGGCCGCGTTGGAGGCCCTCACTTTCTCCACAAATAGAGCTCTGGACGCGGCCCCGAGAGACGCAGAGCCGGTTGGCTCTACCTGCAACAGAAAAAGGACTTTAAAAACAGACGATAAGGTCACAATTTTAATACGTTAACATTGTAGAGTTTTATTGCACTTAGCAGGCAACTAAAAGAGGTTCTATTATTAATCTGTTCAAAACTATCATCATTTATGTACCGACGCACCAAAAGAATCAATAAAATGCCATTACAACCATTTTATATTTATTTAAACATAAAAGTATCAAATACAATACCAATCCGATCATAATCACCATAATGTCACTACAAATGTTCAAATTGGTATTTTTAAACGTTTCTTTAAACGTCTAATAAATTAATCGGCTGAAATCGATGGGTTTTATAAATATATCTCCATTAATTGGTTCGGACTTTAATAGCCTCGTTGATTTATCGTTTTTAAGCCAGTTTCTTGCGGAACTCACATTGACGAGAGAAGTCACGTTATTTTATTATTTACGGCTTGAGCAAAGATAGTGTGTAAAGAAATAATAGTGAGAACCTATATTATCCTCTGTTTAAAAATTATTTTAACTAGCTATGAAGAATTTATTACGCTTACAATAAAATAAAACCCTCAAAGGATTTTATGGTTCTTGTTTTTTATATAAAGGATGAGTATTATATTTACCCATTAATTTTTCGTTTCCGCATTTTTACTTCTATTCTATAATATACTTATCGTATTACTTAATTACATTAATTGGGGCTTAGTCCAACATATAGTTAAATACAACAATAAATAATTATATTTTAGAGAATTTAATATTATGTTTTTACTATGAATTTGTTATGTATCAAATAATTTTCCTAATAGTAGAGTCAAACCTTTATAATTTTATGATGAGTCTTTCGAAAGAGAAAAAAAACTTATCAGCGCTTGTATGTATATGCTGATAGAAAACTATAGCAAGTAATGCTGAGGTATTCTGTTTATTTAACTTTATTATTTTAGTATCCATGAAAAAAGCAGCAGTAACCTATTCTTAACGCGTTCGTTGTATTAACTATTACCATTTGCGCACATCTTTTATAAGCTATCTATTATTTCTCATATTAAAAAAAATTTAGAAAATTGTACATAATTTTAAAGGACATTGCATAACCTTATGAAGGATACAAAATATTAACTTCATAAATATTTACACACCGAAATGATGAGTGTCCACAACAAAGCGTGGACTCCACGACGCGCGACGTCAATAATAAGCTAATAAAAACACAATGTCAACGTGCTACTGAATTCCGAAATCCCGAATACCAGTTAAGCCCTAATCGTTTTAGGTAAAGGGTTCCTTACACATTTTTACTGAATAAATTAATATATTGACTAGGTCAGGTTTGACTGATGTTTTTAAAATCTTTAATCGAAAGAAAAGAAAAAATAAGTTCATTAGCTTGTAAAAATATTTTTTTCACCAAATTATAAATATATTATACATATATTGCAATATATATTTTATTATATGTTAAGCATTACTATACCTATAGGTTTATTAAAATAGTTTAGCTCAAATATATATATTTTTTTATTTATTTTAAATTTTTAAATATTTTTTCCCACTTATTTATTTTAAACATTATTTAGGTTTATTTAATGGAACCCTAAAACGTTATTCAAAACTCGAAGCGGGCGCGGCGTGAGGCGCGTTCACCGCACTATCTAGCTGAGCGCATCGGAAGCGAGAAGATTTTTTTCTCACGGACCGCATTCTCCGTCTTCACTATAATAAACTCTTAGCGTATTTTACCACCTGTACGTAATATATCGTTGTACGTAACGTACGAGTATATCTAATGTTCTATCAACCGAAGAACTTGCAATGTATCGTAAAGTATTATGCTTCCGTTATGATTTTAGCACACAACCCGGAAACACAAAAAATATCTATGCCACTCTCCGACTCATAAAATATCTCTATGGAAGTTTTCACATCAATCTGTTGTTTCATTGCTGGATTGAAAAAGGGTATCGATAATGTAAAAAAATAAAAACACACTTAAATTCCCAATATTACCATTTATGGCTATTGTTATTGGCTATAGCTCATATTCGTTGTTTTAACAAAATAAAGGAAATCGTTATTATACGTGATACGTTTTTTATATAACATTTTGAAATCGTGTTAAGGAATTTAAAATGTGATATGTTTGTTTTGGGGTTCAATAAACAGCTAGAACAATGTAAGGAGTTGTTAAATTATTTATGTCATTATTTCTTTCCCGCAATTTATGTATTTTGTACGGTAGATACAGTCACATAAACTAATAATGCCATTGTTATATTTTGTTCTCACGAAGCCGGTTTATTATTCAGATATGGCTTATATAATATGTTCTTAAGATAAAACGCACATTTTATTTATTTATGACTTTACCGTTGTTTCTCAAAATATAAGAAGTATTTCATGTAATTTTGACAGTTTTATAGTATCTTTATCGAAATTTAAGTTCGAACCAGATGTTATTCTTCTGACGGAGTGTAGATTAAGTCCTGAAAAACCAATTCCACAACTTAAGAATTATTCCTCTTTCTATACAACTTGTCATTTGAACCAAAATGATGGTGTTGTCGTATATATAAAAAATAATTTAAAATGTAAAGTAAGAGAAATAAAATTGTCCCTAGCATCATGCATACAAATTGATATCCTAAATAACATAATTTTATGTATCTATCGATCCCCATCGAACATAAATGCTGACAGTTTTATATTCTCTCTTAATACTCACCTAGATAACCTAAAGTCACAAAAAAATATTATCATAGCAGGTGACATAAACATTAACTTAAAACCTGGGGAATCAACATCATCGTATGAGAACACTAACAGAAATAATTATCTCAACATGTTGTCACTCCACGGTATATTGCCCTGGACATACTTTGGGCGACCAGAGATACAAATTGCTTAGACCATTTTATGCTTAAGATTAATAAACAAAAAATATCGGCTTCAATTGCTATCTTACACACTAGTATCACCGATCACTACACAACTCTTTTATCATTATCCAAACTAAATAATATATATACTGCCAGTAAAATTAAATCAACTATAAATTTTGAAGAAGCTTATAAATACCTATTAGATAATAATCTTGCTAACCTTCTTTTCTGCGACAACCCGGAGTCTCTTGCTAACCTTTTAATACACAAACTAACTGAATCATTAATAAAAATACAGTCCATCTTAAAATTCCAAATAGTAAACGCATAATAAAACCTTGGATTAGTCCAGGTATTCTTCGTTGTATAAATAACCGCAATAAATTACAAAAAAAAACTTAAACAAACACGACCCTTATAATGAAATTATTAAAAATAGCATATATAAGATACAGAAACCATTGCAACAATCTAATAAAAAAATTAAAACGGAAGTATGAGACAGAATTAATTATTAATAATATTTCTAATAAGAAAAAACTTTGGGATAATCTAAAAACAATATCTTACTCTAAACCAAAAAAATAATTATAGTGAAGAATTATTAAGTATAAGATCATCACCTCTAGAATCCGTTAACTACATTAATAATTATTTCGCGAACATCGGAAAAGATCTTACACAAAAAATACAGCCATGTCACTCTGCCTCCAATGACGACCATTATACATTGCCACCTTCACAACCTAATTCCTTCGTTCTGCTAGATGCAGATGAAGATGAAGTGAATCGTGTCTTAATGAGTCTTAAATCTGATAGTGCGTCTGGTTGGGATAATTGTACCAACACGATTTCTTAAATATATAAGAAAAGGAATATCGTTCCTTTATTAACTCACCTTGCTAACCTCTGCTTTAGAAAAGGTATTTTTCCTAGTCCTCTAAAGCAGGCTATTATTACGCCTGTTCATAAAGGTGGGGACAGAGACGACATAACAAATTATAGACCTATTTCAGTATTACCCTCAATATCCAAAATAATAGAAAAACTTATTAATATTAGGCTTTTAACATACCTTAAGATTATAATATCATCTCAAAATCACAATATGGATTTCGTCAGGGCATTTCCACCGAGCACGCAGTAACTGCACTAACTAAAATTGTAACAGAACAATTAGACAACGGTAAACCGTGTCTAACTGTATTCCTTGATCTAAAAAAGCTTTTGATACTGTCTCTGTCCAAATTCTTGTAAAAAAGCTTGAACATATTGGGATACGTGGAATTCCACTACAGCTCTTAAATGACTACCTCTCAAATAGGAAGCAGAAAGTTAGGGTTACTCATTACACAAGTGAATATACAGACGTATCATATGGTGTTCCGCAAGGCAAGTGTCCTGGGACCTACTCTGTTTGTCATCTATGTAAACCAGCTCTGTAATATACAACTAACAAATACTAAGGTATTCTCATATGCTGATTGATACAGCTCTAGTCTTTACGGGTAATTCTTGGCACGAGGTACGGCTTAATGCCGAAATAGGGTTGGCTAAAGTAGCCAGGTGGTTGTCCTAAGAACCTACTCACACTGAACATTTCTAAAACAAATTATATATGCTTTAGCATATGTAAACGTAAACAACCTAGAGAAGATTTCAATATAAAAATACATCTGTGTAATAATGATAAAGGCACTACCTGCAGTTGCTTAAATATAACGAGGGTTCCATGTGCTAAGTATTTGGGTGTTTTTTCATTGACCAGAGATTATCTTGGCATTCTCAAATCGATCATGTGGCAAACAGAGTCAGAAAATTGAGCTGGATGTTTCGGTCCCTAAGACACATAGTCCCTAAACAAGTTTTTAGCAGCTCATCTCGCCCCAGGAATCTCTTGAATGAAATATATTTTGCCTTAGTACAATCAGTGCTATCATATTGTATCCCGATTTGGGGCGGAGCTGCTAAAACGAAGTTTTATTGAACTTGAGAGAGCACAACGTGCTCTAATAAAATGTATGTACTTTAAAAAACTTACATTTCCAACTGAGAATCTGTACCAAGTTAGCAAACTGCTCTCAGTTAGAAAGCTGTATATTACTCAAACTATACTAAAAGTACATAAGGCTGTTTTCTATGATGCGTCTTTAACATTAAAAGAAGGAAAGAAAATATAATTAAAATCCCACAAACAAGAACAACATTTGCGTCAATGCAATTCGATAAAAGATCTGCACAATTATATAATAAAAATTAACAGTATAATTTATGTTTACCCCTACAATTACCATAAATGCAAAAAGACATTAATAGATTGGATAAAAACCCTTAGTTACAATGATACGGAAAAACTGTTAGAACATATTCATTAAATGCTCACACACGCACACACACCACACACACACACACACACACACACACAAACACACACACACGCGCGCGCACGCACATACACACACGCACACTCACACACAATACACAAACAAATATATGTACGCTAATTTTTAATTTTTATTTTTATTTTTTATTTTTTTGTTTGTCTTAATTGATCTATTTAAGTTTGTAGTATCACCCATAATATTATAATCAGCTAAAAGATAAAATTACTTTTTTATGAAAGGGCGGGGTCTCCTAATACAGGCAAATTATTTGCTTAAAAGGGGATCTCAACCACAAAATTTGAAATTTTGATTAGATTTGAAATAAATAAATAAATAAATTTTAAATTAATCAATTAATTATATGTAAATTTTTATTTCAAATGTAAATGTATATTGTTATCTAATTTATAGTTTTTATTGTTGTTGTGTTATAATAAATAAATTATTATTAAATTAAAAAATATATTTGGATTATTTAATATATTTAAATTGAACTAAAATTTGAAGAATATGAATTATTCAATAAACTATTATACCAGAATTGATCGTTTTAGGTATAAATGGTCTCTTTAAGAATTATTATATACATACCGCACTCGGCACGGATTGTACACATTCGAATAAATTTATCGCCTTGTAATTTTGGATGTAAGCCAATAACGCTTCAGGAATCGCCGAGTTCATTACCAGGACGTTTATCACTACCTGGACAGTACAAAGCCATGTAATGACGTCCAATTGTT